GCTATGGCCGTGTCGTGCCCTCCGACGGCTGCTGAACGTCACCTCACAGGCCACGTCGTGCATACGCGTGGAGTGGTGCTGCACGTAACCCTCGTGGTGATCGGATGTTGCGTCAGAGCTACCAGGCCCGCTCTGAAGGCCGCTCGGAGGCGGGAGACCGGTCAGCGCGTGTCGTCACGAGTGTGGTGACCCGCGTCGCCCGGGGGATGACATGACCCGGGTGACTCCACCGGTCGGGCGGCCACGGAACACCCCGATCGGGTCTCGCCCGCGTCAGCGCATGCTCCCCAGGGCCGGACGCGCTGCTCATAATGAAAGCAGCGCAGCTAGCCGCGCCGGGCGGGTAGTACGTCTCATGTTCGCGCTGCCTGTCCCGCTGAGGTAGCGCTGTGATCGCCGCGTTGGCGCGGAAGACACCGGCCGGCTGCCGGGCGCCGTCACGTGGTCTGACCAGCGGCGGGGCGTGACCGAACGCCGGTGTAGACGCGGCCACGCCCCGCCGCCTCCCGGCGACGAGAGAGAAGACTCAGTCGGGGGCGGCCCGCGGGTGGCCAGGCCACGGACTTGCGGGCGCCGTGCTGACCGTCGCCGGTCCCCTCCCACAGGTGACCATGGAGCTGGGAGGCAAGTCGCCGCTCATCATCTTCGAAGACGCTGACCTCAAGAACGCCGTGAGGGGCGCCATGCTGGCCAACTTCCTGTCGCAGGGCCAGGTTAGACCGTGCTCGTGCAGGGACTCCGCTCCGGATCAGTGCGCGCGGCGCGGGCCGTGTTATTCGTGCTCTTGTTGGCGTTTTGCTTTGACGCGAAATGGTCACCGCATTCAAGCTTCTGCCTTCCTAGTCGATGCTCGCCATCGTCACCCTGTTCTTCCTCGTGAGTGAGGCTCGCCGCGAGCGGAGCGGGCCGCTTCGGCGGTCGGAGCTTCCTGCACTCTCACCTGGTTCTTACCGGGCCCTGCTATCGAGGCCCCGCTCACGTCCATGACGGCTCGCAGGTGTGCAACAACGGCACTCGCGTCTTCGTGCACGCGTCCATCAAGGAGCGCTTCACGGCCGCCCTGGTGGAGGCCGCCGAGAAGCTGAAGGTCGGTGATCCGCTCAAAGAGGACACCACCGTCGGCGCCACTGTCTGCCGGCAGCAGTTCGACAAAGTGATGGGATTCATCGAGCGCGCCAAGAAAGAGGTGAGCGCGAGTCACTATGCGCACAGCTCAGTCTGGGATCATTCGCGCGGTAGCGAGTGATGTCACATACGCACCCCATCGTGACATTGACCCTTAGTGCGCAAGGCCCACCTCGGATTCATGCCTGCGCGATGTTGTGATCGTGCCGCACCGCCCGCTCACCGCGCCGTCCGCTGGTGCCGACCCGCCTCCAGCCCGTCCGCTCTCGCCGCAGGGCGGCCGCGTGCTGTGCGGAGGCGAGCGCGTCACGCTGCCGGGCGAGCTGGCGGGCGGCTGCTACCTGCGCCCGTGCGTGGTCGCGTGCCCGCGCGACGACATGGAGCTGGTGCGTGAGGAGGTGTTCGGCGCCGTGCTGGCGCTGCTCGAGTTCACCGACGAGGAGGACGTGGTCCGGCGCGCCAACGACACGCGCTACGGCCTGTCCGCCGGCATCTTCACACGGTGAGCCCGCCGGCGGGGAAGGGCAGGGGCTGGGAATGTGTCACAGGGGGGAGGGGAGGGGGCAGTGTCAGCTCGTGACGCGGATGGTGTGTCGTCATGGGTAGGATTTCCGACTTCTGGCAGTTTCAGGTTGGCATCGGTGCTTTGCGTCATTTCTGGTGATGTCGTGTGCCAACTCTGGACTGTAAGTTTAAGTGGAATGGAACGATGGGCTGTCTCTCAGACGTTACACTGTGTGACGTCACGGTGGTGTGCTTTTTACCATGTCACATAGCCCTGTCTTCCGTCGTATTTTGCCAGTTGACAACGCACGACGTATTTATACTCGTTGCTGCTCTGCCCTCTGCCTCCTGTCCGGTCTGGCCACACACCGTTCTGTTCGTCCATCCTTCGGTCGTTCCCTCGCCCCGTCTGCCGGCCCGTCAGTCACGTGACCGGCGCCGCCGACAGGGACCTGCCGCGCGCACACCGCGTCATGGCGCGCCTGCAGGCGGGCGCCTGCTTCGTCAACACCTACAACGTGATGCCGGTGGGCGTGCCGTTCGGCGGCTACAAGATGTCCGGCTTCGGGCGCGAGAACGCCGTGGAGGCGGTGCAGAGCTACACCCAGCTCAAGTCCGTGTACGTCGAGACCGGCGATGTGGACGCCGCGCCGCTCTGCACATAGGTGGCGCCGGGGGTGGCCGCGCGGACGGTGTTCGCGCGCGCGTGGCAGAGCGCCGCAGATCTGGAACCAGTTGGGGTGTAGTGATAGTCGCCGAGCTGATATTACGGTTGCTGGCCAGTGCGAGGGACGCGTTAGAATGAGGCTGGAGGAGGAATCTTCCGGGGTTTAACCCTCGTGGCAGACACAGGGGTGCTAGGGGTTGGTAGCAGCAGAGCGTAACTCGGGTTGTGCCCGCCGAGAGAGGCGTGGCAGACTAACATATCATGGGCTAGTGGGCTGCTAACGACATGTAATGGCGGGCGGTCCTGTACCTGCCGGTACCATAGGCTGCCGCTGTAAGTGCTGCAGCCGAGAGCAGTAACCGAGGGAGGTGTAGGTTGCCCGGGCCTACGCGGTACCGGAGAGCTCGTCAGTGTCCACCCGGATCTGACACCGCTTTCGGCCCGACCTGGGGCCGCGGGTCGGTACGATTTGCTCGCGGCGGCAGTGCTCGCAGCGTCGCGGGCACTGCCGCCGCGAGTCGCGTGAGCGAGCGGCACGGGTCGTGCCGCTGGGCTTGAGGTTCGGCCGGTCGAGGCGAGTCGCCGGCTGCCTTGCGCTGTGATCCGATGCGATACATTCCGGCAGGGGAAATGCCTTCCTGGACGCGCCTGTAGTGGAAACTGCTTTGTAAACGTTTTGGTCAGCCCTGCAGCCTTGTTTGCTTTTGATGTCTTTATTGTCGCCGTGCTTGCGCGATCGTGTTACTGCGACGCAACGTGTGTTATGAACTTCAGCGAGACGGTGCTCGTGCCGCGCCGTGCAGCGCACTCCGCGACTCGCGCCGGTTGCTATGTGGGTCTCCTGGCGGCGGAGCCTCCTGCGCTGGCATCAGAATCTGCCCGCTCTGACGAGGGTGGTGAGCCCTCTGATGCGCCAGAATCCGTACTCAAGGCTGTATGTCCGTCTGTGCAATACACTGATCCGGAAGCCGCGAAATCTACGGCTGGCAGCGAGGGAAGAGTCGGCGTGGTTAGATGAGATAGGACCGGACATTGGGAGTGCATTGGTGTGCTGGTGTATACTGAAGCGTTTATTTTTTATATCCACGGGTGTCTCATTTGCCGTCCGGTTTTGTTTTGTACAGATTCGACTTATATTTGCCTTCGATTTAAAACGTGTGCATGCTTGAATCTGTTTCATGCGTGCCTCACTTTATGGCATTAGCCAGGATGGCTCATGGGAGTTGCAATGCAGGAAGTCTTTGTGATGGGTCAATGAGAGACCAGGATGAAAGCACCCAAGTCCATTCACCAGTATGAAGTAATTTTGAAGCGGCCGGAAATCGGATTTATTACTAAAAGCTGTTTGAGGCGCATCTGCTAATTATAATTCTGCCCTGCAATGAACGAGTCATTCCAAAGAACAGTTCCTCAACTTCAACGAATCCGAGACAAGGGTACTGTGATTTCCGCGCTCTCGTATTGGGAGCTTTGTCGAAACACTGAACTGGAAGGCTGCTGGAATGAAGGTACCACAAATCGAGAAAGGAAAGTAATAGTTGGCAGGGCAGGGGCGCGCGCAGGATTTCACCGCGTGTTTTGTGGTGATGGAGGGGGGGGGGGGGGGACAAATCAAGAATTTCCGATCAAAACAGAGTTTAACACGACCAAACCAGAAAGACGCCATGTGTATATGAAGAGTGTCATTTGGTTTTCTACACACTACATAAAATGTTTTTTGATGGGCTTCCAGATCCCAGCACATCAATGTGCACATCTCACCGTCTGCCTCCTTGATCTGGAAGTGTTGAGCGGTGTTTGTAATTGCTTAACGGCCACTACCAGGGGTGCAGTTTCCTATTCAGCTGGGGGTGAAAGGGGTTTTAGAACCCCCAACCTTTAGGGCCAAAACCGGGAAGAAACCCATTTGTTGGCGTGTTTTGAGGGTATGTTGGGTCATTTCTTATGGCTTTTCTGGTAGGTTCCACACGTTTGCAACCAAATCATTTTGTGAAACTACGCCCCCGAAACACTACGATAGGGAACATGATTTTTGTACGTAATGGAACTCAAGAGGCAGCTCAAATTTTGCAAAATACTGTTGAACTAAGCATCCGGTACTCGAGATGAGCTCCCACAATTTCAAAACCGAAAGAAATGGCGCAAACCAACGGTAAACATAAGTCGTAATGAAGTCGGAATGTTGCAAAGTGGCCAAGGGAGTGCCGGTCAAAAGGTTTTCGGAACACAACATAGAAGTATTTTGGCTTGATTTGAATGGTACAATTCTGGGAATGGTCAAATCGATCAGACAATACCTGAAAATTGTTCATTTGGAACAAAAAAGCTATTATTGAATGCACATAGAATCCTTTACAGCAGTAGTTTAGTTCAACATAATGGACAACCGCTTATGTGTAAACAAGCTGTTTTGCGGCAATGCCCTCTGAATTACTATTATGAATGAGGTAAAATCTATATTTTTGCAAGTTATTTTATCATTAAAACATTTAAAATGTGTTTTTTAAATAATAAAAAATACTATTTATAGCTATTTTTACTGTAATAGCTTCAAAATTTTAGAAATAAATTGTACTACGTCATCAAATGACGAAAACGTTGGTGAGGCATTGCAGGCGAGTCAGGTGACGAATAGCGCCAAATATGCCTAAGAGATAGCGTCAAAGTTGGCGAGCTTGTGCGCAGGCTCAGTGAGTGTCTTGGTGCGGTGGCGGGAGCCCGTGAATTCGATTGGGGCGCGACAGCGTGGAGCGATAGCTGGCCCTGGTGTTTAGGAGCTATACATGCAGATCTGGAGGCCTTTGGTTGCTCAAAGGACGTGGAAGAGTGTTGTTAGTCGCTGACGCGTGAACAGTATTGAGTACATACTGTGATGTTGGGGCTGAAGATGGTCTACGGTCTAAACACGGCAGTAAATTCACTTTGATCTGTTTGAGCGGTGACCCATGAAACACACATTAGAAGTTTAAACTTATTACCCTTTTAATTGATGACAAGTGCATAACATGGGATAGCCAGCTCAGCTCGCAGGCCGGTTTTAACCTCTACCTGGCAGTAGGTATCATCCGTGACTGGAATATTTAGTGATATTTCTGAAGAAGACACATCTTGGCCAAGATGGGTAATTCAGAAAGTGCTGTGGAGAAAGATGACTACAGACAGACCATGGAGAGGAGAGTGAACAACTACTCATCCAGCATAGTTCCAGGAACTGTAGCAACATCACTGACAATGAAACTTCCAATGCCTGATCAAGATGCATTGGAGGAGAAGTTCAACAAGGTTCTGGTGAGTACCAGTTGTATCTGGTTTTTTATTCAAGCTGTATTGTAACTTAAACAACATTTTACTTTCCTGTATGTGTTTATGCGTAAGTGCCTTTCAGATGTTAACCACATATTTTGTGCTTATCAGCTGCCATTTTTATTGCCACGACAGGTGGAACATTTCATTATTGGTTTGTGCAAAGCTGTCACACCTTTCATGCATATGTCCAAGTTCAGTACCCAAATGAGCAGAAGCTGGTACCTAGATATTGATATCCCTCATTCCAGATGTGATGGATTGCATGGCAGCTTCTTTATTGGTGGCTTGATTGTGATTCATTATTTGATGCCAGCTAAGCCATCATCCCTTGAATGACTACTATTAGAAAATGCATGTCAGGTACTATCCCTGATGTCAGAAGTGCTTGTGACTGCTTCTGGGTTGATAGACTCTGAGCATTGTTGGGTTGTCTGATATGCTCTCTGCCATAACAGACAAGACTGCAAAGAACAGAGCACTGTTTCAGCACCATTAACCAGCACTGACTCGAGGTGCACAGTGCACAGGATCCCAGCCCTGCTCACGCACAGTGAGCCATCTATCACGTGCCGCCCGGCGCCAGGCGGCCGCCGTCCGTCGTACGATAAACAAACTGACGTCGCTCCGCCGCCGTCCGGGTTCTGGTACAGCACGCAGGCCGGAGTCCGGGCCTCCCTCGCCATCCGAACAGGTCGGAGTCCCGGCCTCCCTCGCCACCTGGTCAGGGCGGAGTCCGGGCCTCCTCCGCCATCAGTCAGGTCGGAGTCCCGGCCTCCCTCGCCGTGTGGTCAGGGCGGAGTCCGGGCCTCCTCCGCCATCAGTCAGGTCGGAGTCCCGGCCTCCCTCGCCGTGTGGTCAGGGCGGAGTCCGGGCCTCCTCCGCCATCAGTCAGGTCGGAGTCCCGGCCTCCCTCGCCGTGTGGTCAGGGCGGAGTCCGGGCCTCCTCCGCCATCAGTCAGGTCGGAGTCCCGGCCTCCCTCGCCGTGTGGTCAGGGCGGAGTCCGGGCCTCCTCCGCCATCAGTCAGGTCGGAGTCTAGGCCTTCTTCGCCGTGTGGTCAGGGTGGACCTCCGTCGCCAGTCGCTGCCCGGTCAGCCGGCGTCCTGCACGGCCGCGGACGCGGCGGAATGCGGCGGTGCTTCGTCCGCCGCTCGCCGGACGAGCACGGCACCGCATCGTGCGGCGCTGTTGTGATGACGCTGCGCGGCCGCCTGCCCACGCGTCGCTGCTCGCTGCCGGCCGAGCCCTGCGGTCAGCACCGCGGCCTTCGTCGACGGCGCGAGGTCGTGTTCGCCCGTCCCACGCGCCGTGGCCTGGGTCGACCCGGCCGGCCAGGCGCCGCCCCGTGTCGACCGGGCTTTGTTAACTCGCCCGAGCTTCGGCTGGCTCGCTGACTATTTTTGTCGTGATCGGAAGAAAAACAAACACGAGCCGCCGTCGCGTCGTGGGCGCCCGTCATCTTTGTGTTGTTTCGCAAAACCAGGGACCTTGGCCCGGTACTTCCCGTGCAAACAGCGTGTAAATGCCAAGTGGAGTTCTCTGTAGCTGTGGAGCGTTGGGGACCGCGCGCCCCCATTCAGCTGTCGCAGTTCTTGCGGCCCTCGCGTCCCAAACTCGGTGCATCGGATGCTTGGAGAAGATCAGCCTGTTGTCCTCGCGTCATCGCTGATCTGATTATAAGCAGCGTAGCACTAACCGAAGCTGTCCCGCCACTCACGGAGCCAGTCCTCTGTGGAGTTGGGCGACCCTGTCGGTGGGAGCGGGGAGTAGGCCAGGTTAGCTGAATGTGGCACTGTCTTGTGTGACGGCCTCCGGTCCAGAGGACGTCACCGCTGTCGGCTTTTTAGGGAGCGGGATCGCTCGCCTAATCCGCTGTTTTCCTGCCGCGTGCGACGGATTCGCGGCTGGGTGGCGCTCGTTGCACAATGCATTCCTTGTCATCCGACCATCCAGGCGCAGTTAAGTAGTGCTGCCTCGGCTGGCGATAACGTCTCGTGCTGGGAAGGTTTGCTGCAGCTGGAGGCAAACAAAAATAAGCGAGCACCGACTTTACCAAAAACAAAACTGCCCGAGCGGCAAAGCTCCGTGATCGTCGGCTTAGGTGACTAATTGCAACCGCCTGTGGGATGTTAAAGTCACCGTAGCCCCGCTACGAGACCGCGCTAGGCCATGGGCTCCTGCTCCGTGCAGAGGAGCACGTTGCCTAGCCAAACCATGGCCGCCTACCGACCCCGAGGCTCGGACGACGGTGGCCCTCCGGTGGCGGCACGTGGCGACCTCCGTCACCGTCGGAAGAGGCGATAGCACCGGCTTCCGTCCGGTACCCTCCCTTGGTTCCGGTCCGGCAGCCTGTCCGGTCCGCCCGCCGCCGTCTGCCGCCTCCGGGTGCGGCCTCTCCGAGCCTCACCCGCGGGGCCACGCCGCGGTAGATCGCACTCCGCGGGGTACGGACTGCGCTCCGCGGGGCGCGCTCTGGGCTCCGAGGGCAGCGGACGGCTCTTGTGTCTGCGGACACTGGACTGGCCGGTGGCGTCCGCCTGTGGGCGACGGCGCCGCCGCTGAGCCTTGGCGTCTGCCCCGGCTGTGTTGTACGTTGCCGGCGTTGTCCGCACGCACGGCGTCGATGCCCGCGACCCTGCTCCACTCCCGCCGGAGCCCGTCGCCATGCCCTCGGCCGTCTCTGCCCGGGATTGAGACCTCTGCAGTGGAGCTGCCGGCCTGGCCGCCGGAGTCGGCGCAGCGTGAGACGCCGGCCGCCCCCAGCTGTGCACGTCGCTCGTGTAAACAGGCGTCGACCGGCCGCGCCTGCCACCGCTCTGCGGCGGACCGCTGTCGCACCGGCCTGTGCGCTGGGGTGCGCGCGGAACCCTTGGTCCGCCCACACCCAGAACCCCGCTTGAGCTAAGGAGCTGCTGGTTGTTCGTAAGCTGATAGGACACTTGATGCATGCGGCTGTAGAAGATGCGCGGCGCGCTGAAAAAAATTCAAGCACAGACGCTCTCAGACTCCCCAGACTCTCATACTCCCCGTCGTTCGTGCGTGGCAGGGTGCACCCGCTCGGCAGTGCGCATCCTTCCCGGTGATAGCGCCCGGCCCATCTCCGTTGACAGTCGCCGGTCTGTTACCGTGCCGTTTTTGCGTGCCGCGCAGCGGTGCTGGCGTCGGTCGCTGCCGCTGACGTCACCAGCTGTAGGCGGTCTCGCAGCGGCGGCGGCGGCCCGGCTGTCCTCCGACCGGACGCCACCGGCTGGCCGGCGCTGCGTCAGCCGTCAGCTGCCGCGTCCGGCAGACCGCCGGCGACAGTCGCTCGTCGCCCCGCTCCACGGTGTGCGACGCTGTGGCGTGCTGCCGACGGTGCGACGAGGCGTCGATGGGTGTCGACGGTCGCGGCGCGTCCGCCGGCCTGGCGGAGGGACACGCGCAGCGTCGAGAGCGGCGGCGAGGCGCCCCGCCCCGCCACGCCCCGCATCCGCAGCGCATCCACCATCCTCCCGCTGCCGTCGGAAAGAGTGGTCCTCCGCGCGGGGCAGAGCCCGCCGTGCCGTGCACGTGCGCCGGCCTACCGGCCGAACAGGACTTGTTGCAGAGCAAAAACACGCCCCGCTCGGCGGCTGACGTATCGGAGCGCTCTGTTCGCCGGTAGCGGGACCGAGGGGAGAAGTAAATCGATAGTGTCGTCTTTGTCTGCTGCGCCCTTCCCGTCTCTTACGCTCTCACCATTGGCACCGATCCGTTGCTGTTGTCAATGTCACCTGTATATTTCGGACCGGCGTCCAAGTGCACTGCGTGTGCACTGGTGGACGAGCAGATGTCTGGTCGTCCAGGAGCGCTCGCCGCTGGCCCCTGCGCTGCTGTACCGTCTCGCTCGCTCCGAACCATCCCCCTGCCGCCGACCGAGCCCTCAGCGCCGAACGGTGCGGACCTGTGTGCCGCGCGCGGCCGGGACGCGTGGGCCCCAGCGCCTGCGCCTTCGGAGCCGTCGGGCCTCGCGGGAGGCGAATGTTGTTGCCTGAGCCCGAGCAGGATGTTTTTTACTTCGGAGGGACGCTGCTGCAGTGGTGGGCCGGTCACGCTGCGTCACCCGGGCAGCCGGTGCGCCGGTGCCGGCCGACAGCCCGGCGCCAATAAAGGCGTGCTGTGCGCGCCGGGCAAGCGGCGCTGTGCGAGGCACTGTGCTGGGCAAGCGGCGCTGTGCGAGGCACTATGCTGGGCAAGCGGCGCTGTGCGAGGTACTCTGCTGGGCAAGCGGCGCTGTACGAGGCACTGCTGGGCAAGCCGCGCTGAGCGAGGCACTTTGCAGAGTCCGGCTGGAGGGCGTATGGCCCGTTTGATATCCCACTTTGACCCATCTTGATCCCACGTCCGACGTCGCGCGCCGGAAAACTGACGAGCGTACGCACATCTCTGTGTGGTCCAAATGACCTCGGTCGCCGTTCGGCCTGGCGCCGTGTCGCTCATCGAACCTTGACCCGCTGCGGTCGGCCCAGAGCACGCCCGATGAACACGTGATCCGTGGCTGGACACGACAGGAGCGCGGGACGCGACGCGGCCCAATTAGCGTCGATGTCCGGAGGCCCGGTCGGAGTCGTCGGTGGCGCAGGGTAGCGCCGGTCTCGTGCCGGGCGGCTAGCCGCCGCCGGGTTGTCGGCCGGCCGGCCGGAATGCTGGCGGCCGTCTGCTGTGCGCTGCTGTGTCCGAGCTCTGGTCTCCCCCCGCCCTCCCCCTCCCCTATGGCTGCGGGTGAGGGCGGGGCGTGCGAATGTGGACAGAGTCAGGGGGGGGGGAGGGGGGCGGAGTCGAGGCTCAGCCAGCCGCCGCTGAAGGTGTGCGAACATCGCAAACAGCTGATCCTCCGCATTACGGGGTCCGGAAGGGGGGAATTTATGCATGCCGTCAGGAGGCACTGGAGTCGGCGTTGTTGTAGCTTCAATTCATCGAGGCCGTAGTTTTCTCTCTAAGGTGTTATGGTTCTTTTCCGGGAGAGAGGCTAACAAGCCCTGTCCTTGTGTTGTCATGCGATATGTCTGGTATGTACTAAGCACGCCCTTCGTTGATAAATTTTGAGTGCGTAACGCGTTGGCTGTCATGGGTGAGTCATAATTAGAGCGGTGATTAATGATTACCTACTCCTCAGCTCCCTTAACACTGTGTGGCCAAGACGATTGGGTACGATTGACACGTGTGGTAGCCGCTGTGTACGATACGCTGACGATTACGGGCCTCATCCGTCTTTGTACCCAGGAGTGAACGCCTTGTTCGGTGTCACAGAGTCGTGAGGCAGTTTTCCCAATAGAAAGTCATCCAGTCCCAATGTCCGCTTTTCAGTAACCGGTACCCATTAGCTTTTTGACACATCGTATTCAGTACAGCTGGATGGGATTTTGGGTGTTGTCGGATTTAGATCTGTTCTTCCGTCCTCTCCCACCGCCCGCCTCTGACATGGCCGCCGCGGGTGCCGGGCGCCGCCCCGCGCGTCAACAGCTGACCCGTCACCTCTCCATCGCAGGCCTCCATGGACCTGCCGCCCGACAAGGCCAAGGTGTTGCGCCAGTACGACAACGAGCGCAAGTGGGAGATGATCTGCGATCAGGTGGGTGGCCGTCATGAAGTGGATTTGCTGCCTCCTGTACCCCCCCCCCCCCCCCCCACCCCCATTCCCCCCACGCCGCCCCTCTGTTGATTAGGTGGGTGGCCGTCCTGACGTGGGCGCCTCGCTGCCCCGTGTACTCCCCCCCCCCCCCCTCCTCACTCTGCTCCTCTCTGTCGGGCACGTGTTACAACAGCCCGGTTGATCGTTCGACGGAATGTGCTTTTCACACTCACACACCTTTGCACGTGCGCGCCCAGAACTGCGCCGCAAAAGCGTTACGCCGACGCACAGGCGCTTGCGCGGGACGCGCGACTGCTCGACACTCCTGTGGTCGAGACACTGCCGCCGGCGCCCCGCCGCGCCGCCCCGAACGCGAGCGTGTTGCCTGCGCCCACCGCCGTGGACGCTGTCACCCAGCACGCCTTGCCGGGACGCGTCCGTCGCGCCGGGCGCCGGCCGGCCGGGCGCCGTCTGCCGTGAGTCAGACGTGGCCGGCCGTCACACCTGCGGCGGCGCCGCGCACCTGTATGGCGACGACCGGGACGACGCAGGCCGCGCCGCCCCGCAGCGCAGCGCCGCCGGCGACGAGTGGTGCGGTGCCGTGTGGTGCGTCTGGTGTGTGTCGAGGAGCCGCGCGGGCCGGCACAGGGAGCTCCCGCCGCGGCATGGTGAGGTGGGGGGGGGGGGGGGGGGGGAGGGAGAGGTTGTGGACACGGAGGGGTCGGCTTAAGGCGAGGAGTGGCTTGCGACGCTGGTCTGGCCGGCTGGGCTTGGCATGAGCCCGAAGCGGGTGCGCGCTTCTCTCGTGCTGTTTATTGGTGTGGGAGGCAGCCGAGCACTGATGCATTCGTGAGGGTATTTGCTTAGATTAGTCAATTCGACATTGATAAGCGTCGCTTGGCGGACCGAACGGACGCCTTTCATCTTTATCTCAGTCATTCGTCGTGCTGATGACCTTTCGCGATGGACATGTGCGTGACCACTCAACAGCAATAAGCAGGCGTCAAGCGCGTGCAACTTATCACACTAGTGCAAACACTGTGAGTGCTACAGTCCCAGCGAGCTAAGCCTGAAGTTTGCGCGGACCATGCGAGTCGCCACTGTGACAAACCATCACATTTCGCCCAGACACCGAGACCTTTGGACCGTATGGATAAGCCCTGCAACTTTACTTGGTCAGTATTTATTTTTTTGACATCTTTCAGTCTTCTGATTTACAGCCTCCGTGGTCTCTGCATTTCTCAAGGACGCGGAAACCAGGGGGGGGGGGGGGCAATGGGGACAGCTTGCGCCCTCCCCCAACTTGGAGAGCTTGTGGACGGTCCGTTCTGGTATGTTAAGGGCCAGTTCTGAACCGCAAGGGATTATGTAAGCCTTTCAGAGGTCATTTCGACCAATTTCGGATCCATTCTTGCCAGAAGAGGACACTTCCGAGCCTGCAGAGGGCCCATTCTGACCTTTAGAATGCCCATTTTTGACTGTGGGGACCCATTCTGAGCTGAAGACTGCTCATTTTTGACTGGAGGGCCCATTCTGGCATGTAGATGGTTCATTCTGAGCTAAAGACTACCCATTTTTGACTGGAGGACCCATTCTGGCCTGTAGATAACCCATTCTGGCATTTCGGGGACCGATTCCGGCCTTTAGACCTAGCCTGACCTCTTTCTGGCCTGCACAAGGCTCATGACCTGTATAGGGCCGTTACGAGCTGTAGAGGGTCCGTTATTGACTGTCGAGAGGCCCTCAACATCCAATACTGAGGGGCCCTCGGGCCCATTCTGGCCTCTGGAGGGGCTCATTGAGGCCCGTGGAGGGCCCAGATTGGTTACAATTCCAATCATTCTGGCCTGTAGTGGAGCCACTATTGACTGTAAAGGGCCAACTTTAGTCTGACGATTCTGGCCTGTAGAGGGCCCAGTGACCCTGACCCGTGACAGGCCTATTACCGACTATGGGGGGGGGGGGGGGGGGGTTCATTCTGACGTGTTCGGGAGCCCAGTCATGCTCGTCGAGGGTTCATGGTTGACTGAAGAGTTCCCATCCTGGCCTGTAGAGAAGCCATTATTGGCTGTGGAGTGCCCACTCTGATCTGCAGAGGGCCCATTATTGACTGGAGAGCCCCCTCTGGCCTAACGAGGGCCCGTTTTGACTGTGGAGGGCCTATTTTGATATGTAGAGGGCCCTTTCTGGTTCCATGGTGCCCATTCGGACATTCATAGGGTCCATTTTTGAATTAAAGGGCCCACTCCAGCTTGTAGGGCCTACATGTAATGTTAGGGGGCCATTTTGGCATTTTGGGGTTTTCCTTCTACCCCCAACTTGAACATAACTCCCGCATTTCGGGCATTAATTACCCCGCGGCTGGATGGCGGGCTCTTCACCACAGTTGAGCATCCGTGCTATTGGGATGAATGAACCGTGGCATAGCTCACCAAGAGCCCCCCATTTCACCATCCCCGTCCCCCATCAGCTCCACCATCATCGCTCTATCGTCGTACATTGTGGAACGGGAGCAGTACGTCCCGAAAGCAGTCATTCTCCCCATCGGCCCCCCCATGAGGCGCCCGTCCTCGTCCTCCCCACCGGCCCGTCCTCGTCGTTCCCACCGGACCGGACCGCCGCCCGACCGATCCGTCCTCGCCCTCCCCACCTGACCGTCCCGCCGCCCGACCGGGCCGGGCACCCCTGGCGCCGTGGCCGCCGTCCTGTCGGCGCGTTCTTCCGAGCCGTTCCGCCGTGCCGTTCCGGACCGAACCGTTCCGCCGGTCCTGGCCCGGTGAGGCGCGACGGCTGCGGTCTCGTTAGCTGCGCCACCGGCGCCGCTGACGTCACTGGGACCGCCGACCGTAGCGTCACTGGGACCGTCGACTCACTGACTGTAGCGCCGCTGAAGCCGGCGGCCCATTAACCGGAAGTCAGACTCCATGGGGAACGGGTGGGCGGGGGGGGGGGGGGGGCAGGGGGCTTCGTGGTGGCTCCCAGCAGCTGGACGCGGCTCCTGGCATGACATCATGGCTGCTGGGGCGGCCCGCTGCCGCAGCAGCCGACGGGCGGAGACCGGCCTGCTGTGCACCGCTGCTGACCCACGGTGAAAGAGGAGTCGGCCAGGCAGCCCGGTCAGCCCCGGGCCGTGGGGCGGGCTGATGTCATGGTGCGCGCCGCAGCAGTCAGCGGCACCAGCTCTCGGGTGCAGTTCTTGGGGTGTGACCGGGGTTCCAAGTGGGATTGTGACTTGTAAGGGTGGTACTGTGTCGCCTGTACCGCCGGTGTGATCCATCTGCCAGTTTGTTTGTTGTTTTTTACGACAGAGCTCAAGCGTGTCATGAGCAGAACACATAGCACGGTGCTGTTATGAGTGTTCGTAGGAAGCGGAAACATAAGCTGTCTGTCCCCGGCTCCGAACCCACAACTTGTCAGCGATGACACTACCGTCTTTTCTGTCATCGACGCATAGACTCGCACGGGTACGCTCCTCTTTGTGATGCCTTGCCGGTCGCCCTCTCGAAGAGCTGTGCCGCCTCCCGGACACCATGCGCCGGTCATGCGGTCTGCACCCATGACGCGTCATCGTCATGCTCTGGCGAGTTGTGCAGACCTTGTATGGACTGTAGCTGTCCGATCGAGGGCCAGAGCGATGGTCACCGGCCTTCAAGTGCGCTCCACCGCGTCGGCTCCCTCCCCCTCCCCGCTACGTTTCGTGCTGTCCCCCACCCCTCCGCCCGCATCGTGCAACGCGCATGTCTCCTCCGCGTGGCCGCCTGCTCGCCGCCGCCGCCGTCGCTGCCGCCGGCCGACGGTGCGCCGCCGTTCCCCGCGGCGCCTCCGTGCCGGCTCCCCGGCCGGTTCCGGTCCGGCTGTTGCCCGTGAGAGCCGTCCGAAGCCGGCCGGGGCCCGTCCGGCGGCGCCGCTCGCGGCCCGCCGACGCCACGTCGCGCACCGGGGCGGGTCGGCTCGCGTCCCGCTGGAGGAAGAATGGGCTTCCTGTAATGAAGGGGGGGGGGGGGGGGGGGGGTGTTGAACACGGGCTGCCTGTGCTGCAGGGTGCCTGAGACCTCCCGGATGGTGGATACCACAGGCTTGCAACTGTTCTGGGGCTGTTCTCCCCTCGCTGTGCGTGGAGCGGGCTCCCGCTGCCATCACCAATTTCCCTGAATCCTTCGCAGCACCTGCAACTGTGGCTTTCAGGTGCCGTCAACGTGCTCTCGGAGTTATCCTGGCACTCCTGGCCTCAGTCTAATTTGTTAGCTAGACGAGTTTCCCCTCGGTAGTACTCGCACGGACGTCCCCGCCCCCGTTAGAAGGCGGCCTGGCTCCGGTGCCGGCCTGCACTCCTCCCACCCCCGCCGAGCAGCCACGTGCCGCCGTCTGGTCCCGCCTGTCAGCAGGCCTGCTTGCGGCCGGCGGCTCTGCTCCGTGTACTGTGCACTGTGCACTGGTCTGTGTGCACTGCGTCTGCGGTGCCGCGCGGCGTTGACCCGGGCCGGTCGGAGGAGGCCCCGTCTTGACCCTGACTGTGTGGTGCGAGCGCGGCACCTGTGAAGGAGGACAGCGACAGGCAGTAGCCGCATTTGTGCCTCCTTCCTTGGTGAAGGTGCGCTTGCTCGTCCGCTCGAGGCCCTGGAGTGAGCCGGCCCTGGAGTCCAGACCCTCGCTGATATGCTGACACTGACGCTCTCACGCCTGCGTTGTCCTGCGGCGACGCGCGGGAAGCGAGCGGGCCAGGGGAGCGAGCGTGTCGCTCCCGTGCCAGCAGTCCTGGCAGCCGGCGCCGCCCGAGCGACGCAGCACGCCGGCCGCCGCCGCTAACGCTTCCCCTGCCGTGCGTTTCAGGAGCGGGTGTCGGCGCGCGAGCCGCCGTCCTTCTACCTATGCAAGCTGCGTACCTACCTGGACCCGAAGGCGTCGCGCAGCCACCGGGTGAGTGGCGGCGGAGGGCGCGCGCGGCCGCGCGTGCCGCCGCGGCTGGCAACGGGCGGAGAGAGCCGGCGGGGACGAGTTGGATCGGACTGGGACGGTCGGACGGGGGCTGGGCAACTGTCACGCGGTCTGCGGGCGGTGGCCGGATGTGTGACGCTCGGCCTGAAGGGAGTGGGGCGTGGCGGTGGGTGACGAGGAGAGTCGGGCTGATGCTGGCTGGCTGGTAGTGGGAGCGTGTGCTCAGATTACACGGTCGATGCGGGCGCAGACTACCGTCCTCGAAACCGAAGACATTGAGTGTTCACTCGTATACCCCCCTCTAATGTGAGTCCTCCCTCCTCCTCCTCCTCCTCCCGTCCCGGTCCGCCGGGTGACGCCTCGGCGCTGGCGTGCACCCTTGCTCGGCTGCAGCCGGCGGTCGTTGACGCCGGGCGGAGCCCGTCACCTGCCGCCGCCGCCGCCGCCGCCGCCGGTGTCGGTGTGCGTGACAAACGGCCGCCGGCTGCCAGCCTGGCGGCGCACGCCCGCCGCCGTGGCCGCGGCCGGCTGCTGCGGCGGGCGCGCGCTGCGGCCGGACCGCCGACGTTCCCCGGCCGCAGCGCTGGGCGGGTCGGCCGCGCCGGACGTGGGCCCGACCGTCACGGTGCCGGAGGTGTCGCGTCGGCTCCCCGGGGAGGGGCGGCGGGGTGACCTCACCGGACTCGCGACGGGGCCGTGGGGACGGCACGGACGCGGCGCCCGCTGCCGACCGCCGGTGACGGGAGCGGCGCGCCGTGTTTGTCCCGGGCGCACGGCGACGTGCTGCGGGCGGCGGGTGGCACAGAGTCATCCGCGCCAGCCAATTGGAGGCGCTGAGTCATAGCCGGCCGGCCGGCGGGCGGGCGGGCGGGCGGACTGGGGCCGCGGCGAGGGGGCAGCGGGCCCGCGAGGGAGGGTGCTCAGAGCTGCGCACGGCTCCGAGTGCAGCTGCCGTCAGAGCAGATTACGCCAGAACTGGTCTTCGGCTATTTAAATTGGCACTAAGCTGTTGGCTGGCTCTGCACAGTCTTGCGAAAAACCAGGCCTGCTGTGAATGTTGGGCCCTTAAACTTCCCATGTGTTTTAAAGGGACTAGACCTACCGTAGAATGGTTGGTGCGGTGAGTACGTCAAAAAATGCGGCACTCTCCACTGCTCCTTTTCGTTTTTTCTCATGTGTTATTGCATCTATGCTATCACAATTCCGCAAAGCGTTAAGGTTAGCATGGTGCCTATGTGAGGCCTGGGCGTGGTAAAGCCCAGTAAACTAGTAAAGCCATTACTAGAATGTGCTGATTCCATGCGTTACTTGTCAAGGAAAGCCACAAGGTTGGCAGTTCTTCCGTTGCTCAGAATTTATGGTGCTTGCAGTGGTGCCTTTCGGAAGCAGAACTTCCTGCTTGTCTAGGAACAGTGTCACGAAAAATTATCTACTTTGCCTGATCTCTTTGATCGGCTTCGCCTTATGTTCTAAAGACTATTCAATTACTATGATCATTATCTTATTAAACGCTCTTCAACGTGCCGGAATATCAAGAGTTTGTCTCCCTTAAAAGTCAAGAATTTCCGAGTTTCTTGTGTTGTGAAAATAAAGAACACTTCTCTGTTTTGCTTCTTTTCCGTGTTAGCTTTATTTTGTCGCAAGCAACACTGAAAATTAAGCAGCCGGCATCGAAACATGGATGATACCAAATACAGTCATTGCGATGATGTCATAGCTTATCACTGCTGACTCGCTGAACCGCGGAGCCGCCGCCGGTCCGGTGTGTTTAGTGTCATGCTGATGCGTCATTTCGGGAAGTTCGGCAAAAAACAGAAGTAATTCATGCTCAGAAATGTGACCGGCAAAACCGATCCTCGTTCAACGCTATGAAAAAACGCATCGGCACGAGACAGGCATTGTTCTGTGACTTCTTTCGAAAGAGTGCAGCTAGTTAAGGCTGATCACGCTATATCCAAGTCCAGCTGATCCGTATCCGATTCAATCCGATACGATCTTCGCCAGACAGGTGGGCCGCACAGGCTTCCTGCTATCTCCCGAAACTTATAACGAAAACTGCTTGTCACGAAATGGTATCTGGCGGCTCGTGTGAAACTGCATCAGATAGGTGTCATGGAACATCTGCGCGGGTGAGGTTTGGTGAATCAAACTCGGTCGGTCGGCGAACAAAGTCCGGAAATTTTGGCCCTTTCTTGCATGTGGAACCAGTTGCACTGCGCCGATGTGGAAGGTGTCATTACATAGCCCGCGACATGGCGAATCGTACACAGATAGTTGTCCATCGTTGAACGTGACCTGTGACGTGCTAAATCACGTTATATAAGTCCCACCGCGTGTGTACACACCACCTCGTTATGGCCTGAACCAAGTGTTTCCGCTGTCCGCTGGAGGGCGTTTGTAGAACGTCACTGGGCGTCGGTTAATGAGACGTAGGATATGACAAACGAGGTCATGAAAGGTCACAATTGTTTTTATCAAAGGTTTTGTGACGCTGCGCATTTGACCCGGTCTTACCGTGACGATGATACCCGGCAAAACCATGTTACGGAATTACCTTATGTGCCATAACGTATAGGAAATCGGAGTACATGAGTCTTTTAGGACTGGTATACTCTGACGGGCATATTGAATCGGGCACCCAAACACGAAATACTGCCCACAGAAACTCTGGATAATTAGGCTATCTCCTGGCCCATTAAAGGAAGGAGATTCAAATTATCACAGATGTAACCAACAGCAGAAAATTGCGTCATGTGCTCAGCGGACGTAAGGTTAGGAAAGCCTAGGGAACCCCTCGGAGCCGCTGAGGACCCTCATCCGCCGAAGATTCAGGGAACCCCTACACCTATGCACGGCACGGGCTCCGTGGACTCGGGACCGCCATTCGCCACTGTACCCTTCCCAGTCCTCGCGTGCTCGCGCTGCCCGCGTGCCGTCGATGTGGTCACCCTCAAGCCTACTCCTCGCAGTCCGCGCTCGGTCATAACAGCGGAGTCCCCGCGCCCGATCATCATCACCACCCCGCGCGCCGCGTCCCAGCCGGCGATCGCGCCGCACGCAGGCCCGATCCCCGTCATCAGCCCAGCCCGGGATGCGCCGCGTTCCGGCCGGCGTCGCCTGCGTGTGAGCCGCACCTCCCGGGGTCGGCTGCGGGGCGGCCAGCCGCCGGCCTCCGAGGTGACCCGAGCGCGTGTGACCGGCGGACGGCGCCGGCGGAATGTGGTCCGGGGAGCGCTCGCCGCCGCCCGCCATTTACATGAGAAAGCGCGTCGGTCGGCGGCGGTCGCCCGCGCGGTCGCCGCCCCTTGCAGGGCGCCCCGGGCGGCGGGCGGGGGGTCGGGCTCCCGCCGCGCGCGGGGCTGGAAGTGAGGGAGGGGAGGGGCACCTGTTACCGGCGCACGGCTCGTCCGAGTCGGTTCGCCGCTGAACGGGAGCCTCGGGTCGGGTCCGTGGGGGGCTGGCCCCGGCAGGTGACGGTAGCGCCCCTCTCCCTCCGGCCCGCGCGGTTGACCCGAGCCGCCCAGCGATCCCCCGCAGTTGTTATCTTTGGCGAGAGGAGGGCGGCGGCCGCTCCGGCGGTTTTTGCCCCCAGCTGCCGGCTATTGTTGCCAGAGGGTTTTTGTGGCGCCCATCCGCCGTGTCTTCGGTCAAGTGACTTGCGCGTCTTCGGCCCCGGTCTCTTCCGCGTGCCTCGGCGCTGTCCCGACCCACTCTGCTTTGTGCGAGACGCGTGCCTTAATGTCGTAAGTGTGTGCACAGTGCGGAGCTTGAGTGCGTGCGCGCGCGAGCGCGCGCGTGTGACACGTGTGCGTGCATGTGCTGGGGTGCGTTTTCACCCGTGTGGTTTTGGCCGTCAGAAACGGAAGTTGATGGGAGATTCAACATCGACACAAGTGCTGCGTGACCTGGAGATCTCGCTGAGGACCAACCACATCGAGTGAGTACACCTGAGGGCGGGGAGAGCGGTAGGGCCTGATACCCTCGAAGCCGTCTCGTTCCCGCTGGCCTTGGCTGGCCAGTGCAGAAACCTGCAGCTTCACCTACACCCTCCGTACGCTTATTACGACCAGACTCGTCCGCAGATTATCGTTGCGAGCGCCGGACGTTGCTGTCTAATGCTAAACGTCGTCGACCCCGGCGGCCTTTCTCCGGCACCTCTCGACCTCCGATGACCTCACGGCGGGCCGTTGCGTGCCCGGCCGACCCGTGATAACCCGCGGCCGGCGCCGCTGCCATTCCCACGGCCGCCACGACGCCGAGGCGCGCGCGCGGCCTCGGATGAGCCCCGCCGGTGTCCGTGAATACACTGCCGAGGTCGCCTCCCGTTGCGGGCGGGGCCGTAAAGCGGCGGCGGCGCCGCGGGCGGCGTGCCGTCTGCTGCCGCCGAGGCGCCGGATGCGCCCGCTTCCGGCGCGGCACGGCTGGACGGCGCGGCGCGCGGTCGCCGATGGCTGCGGCGGCGGCGCTGCGCTGTGTCGGCCGGCGCGCGGCGCGTTGGGCTCGCTCCGTCGCCGGGCAGTACGAAGCTTCCTTTCTTCGCAGCTGCCGCCGACCGAGTAGCGCGGTCGAGGGAGGTTCAGCCGGTCTGCTCCAGTCGGGCGCAGCCGGCGGGCAGGTACCCCTCCTTCGCGCACCGTCTCCCAGGCGGTGGGGGTCGGTCGGTGCCGGCGGTGATTGTTGCCATTCGGTGGTGACCGAGACGGCCTCCGGGACGGCACGGCGCGGGTCGCGGGGTCAAGGAGGCCCTGGCGCTGACCGGAGCGGGCCGACCGCTCGTGGGCTAATGACGGATTAGGTATGCTGTTGTACGCATGACAGATGAGGCGACACGCTGGCGGGCGGTCTGGAGAGACGTACACAGTCCTCCCGATGGTGCGCGGGACTTGGGGTCGCTGGATGTGAGGCGTTTTGACAGACAGCGTCACGTCACGCATCTCCGCTCACGGAAACAAGCCTGGGTAAACTGAAGCAGTGCCCCGGGCTGCCATGCAAGACATCGACCAGTACCGGCTTATGGTGACAGCGTTGCGTGAATTATTGCGCGGAGGCAGCTTCCTCAGTCCCGAGGTATCAGTCTCGGTGTCCTCAGTCCCGAGGTCTCAGTCTCGGTCTCCTCAGTCCTGAGGTCTCAGTCTCGGTCTCCTCAGTCCCGAGGTCTCAGTCTCGGTCTCATCAGTCCCGAGGTCTCAGTCTCATTCTCGGTCTCCTCAGTCCGGAGGTCTCAGTCTTAGTCTCAGTCTCGGTCTCCTCAGTCTCGAGGCCTCAGTCTCGGTCTCCTCAGTTCCGAGGCCCCAGTCTCGGTCTCCTCAGTCCCGAGGTCTCAGTCTCGGTCTCCTCAGTCCCGAGGTCTCGGTCTCGGTCTCCTCAGTCTGGAGGCCGCGTCACCAGTGGTCTCGCCGCTTGGACACGGCGCTGGGCGGCCTGTCAGCCCGAGACGGCGCCACGGCCGGTCAGACCAGAGACGACGCTATCGCCACCGCGCCGGAGGAATGCGTCGGTCCGCCCAGGCCGTGCCGGCCGGCCGGGCGGCGCCGCCGCTGACGGACGGCCGCCGAGCGGCGGCGGCGGCGGCGGCGGCGGCGGGACCGCCGCTGTTTGTCGGCGGGGGAGGCCTGGCCGCTTCCCGGTGTGCAGCGCCCGCTGAGACAAGCGGCCCGCCGCTGCCGCCGCCGACCGCCCCGCGCGCTCCCCCGCTCGGCAACGCCCTGTTTGTTATGGTTAGGGCCGGCGGAGGGGCGGCGCCGGCGGCGGCGGCGGCGGCGGCGGCGGCGGCGGCGGCGGCGGCGGCAGCGGCGGCAGCGGCGGTCGTCGGGCGCTGGCGGCTTCCGGGCGAGGGCGGCGACCCACACCAGCGCTGGGAACCCGCTCGCCCGCCGACGACGCGCGGGCTAATTCATTAGCGGCGTCCCGGGACGGGCCGCGGGCCGCCGCGAGCGCCGTGGCCGACGGCATGCGGCGTGGCCGGCGCGCCGCTGCGCCGTACAAGTATCCCGACAGCGTCGGCAGCCGGGCTGCACCGGCGACACGTGCTGCTGCTACTGTCGTGGTTTTCAGCGCACCGCCGGCGGCGCGGCGGCGCTGAACCGTGCACGGCGTGGGTGGACATTTGAAGAGGGACGGGCTGTGCGCCCCGCGCAGGAGGCGGTGCGTGGCGGCCGCGGGACGACGACACGCGCCGGGAATGTCGCCGAGGCGGCGGGCGGGCTGCACGCGCCCGTGCAGGAGGCTGGCCGGACCGCCACCGGCCGGGCCGGTTCCGGGACCGTGCCCTGGTTGTGACGGGGTCGGGTCGGCGGGGCGCGTACGTCGCCGCCGCCCGCCTCGTGCCGCTGAACGGTACACCATTCGCCGGCCGGCCGGCGATCTTGCGACGCCTCGGGAGCGGCCCGGCCGGCGGCCCGGTGATTTAAGTGGCCGCTTTAAGAGGTGTGTCGTGTTTTTGTGATCGCTTCCGAGCAGGCGCTCGATATAGGGTGCCGGTCGCCTTGTCAACGACCGGCACCGTTACGCGGCGTCGAGCTGTGAGGAGGCCGTTCGAGGCCCGCCCTAGGTGCTGCTTTTCACGCTCTGTCAGTCATCAGGGCGGTGAGTGGAATGTGAAGATGTAGCGATTAAGCGCCTTGTTTTCTGATGAGGGATGTACGCGCGCTGTGATCACCGGTGAATGAGTGGGATGTTTGTCCGCGGATCCCCAGCCGGCCTTGGGTGCGTTAGCGGCAACGGTTCGGCTCTGCGCGTGTTGTCTGACCGCTACTAGCCAGGCAGTTCTGGCGGTATTTTCCGGCCTGCCCGCTCACAGCGACCAGCGCTCGTGCCGCTCAGGTGACCCGTGATATGCAGATGGATGTCGTAAAATTTGGCGTATAATCCCGCGGCCAGACCAGTTTTGCCTGCATTCGAAATGACGTCGTAAAAAAGGTCTATTGGCGGGATTCGAACCGGCTGACGTCAGGTCGTGATGTGTGGGTGCCGCCTGCCGCGTGCGCCAGGCGGCGGCCGACATCTGGAGCGGCTTGGCAGCGGCGCGACGCACGCATCGCTTCATCGCTGGCACGCCCGGCGGCCCGTCTTTGTCTAGGCGCGTGGAGGCGCGCGGCGCGGCCGGCGGTCCATCGAACTCGGCCGCGTGCCGGACAGACCCGCCGTCGCCCTCCGCCGCGCCGCGCCGGGCTCCGCGGCGCCGCGGCGTGCCCTGGCCGCTCGCCGGATGGCGCTGACCCCGGCTCGGGCGGCGCCCGGCGCAGGGTGACCGGCGGCGGCACCGGGCCGGCCGGCACGGGAAGAGCGGTGCGTCGTCCGGCGCCGCTGCGCCGGAGCCAGCGGTGACCTCTGCGCGAGTGCGGGGAGGCCGGGCGGCGGCCGACAGCCGGGTTGGAGCTCGTTAGCTCGGCGGCTGGGACGGAACGGACGCGAACGGACGCGTCGTCAAGGCCGACGCTCATTGTGAACGGCGGCCGGCCGGCTGGCCGCCGGGTCCGCCGCTTCCTGCTTCTGCGCCGCGCCTCGGCCTCCGGTGTGCGCCGCCGGCGACTGCGGCGACCGGCGGCGGCTGGCGTAGGGACGATGCCTGCTGATCGCGTCGGGCGGTGTGGTGCGCCGCGCCGGGGTCGACGGGTGCGGCGCCTCTGTCTCGGTGATCCCGTTTGCGCGGGGAGAAGCAGCGGTAGTGGCTACGGAGTGTTGGCTCTGGTAGCCGTGGCAGATTCCGCAGTACGTGTCGGAGCCTGGGCGGCGCGTTTAGCAGCCACCATTGCCAAGTACGATGGCTGCCTGAAATCAGAGCCTGGCAGGAAAGGGCTTAAGTATTGTGCCGACCCGGACGGTGGAAACGGTGTCAGAATTGGGACGATAAGCGCTGCCGAGTACGAGCTATGATACTAACTTCGTCGCCGTGAAGCATCCGGAACTAATTTCGCTATGAGGCGCCTGTTTCACCGGTTAAGTGTGAACATGGGTGAATGTATGCCTCTTAAAGAAAGATGTGGACAGTTTTTCACCGCCAACCGCCGCAAATAACTGACTGGAACCTAGCTTCATAGCAAGTCCTATATTATGGAACTGCAAAAACACGAACAACTTGCAATCGTTTGTTAAATTTGTGGATATTCTTGTTGGCGGATTTGGTAATTGGTAGATTCTTGACTTTGTCTCATGGAACTAGGCCCAGGTGATCATTTCCGTAGTGCATCTGCTGAGCATTCCCGGAGTCCTTTGTCTTCTGTTTTGACCTGCTGCTTGGAATGCTCCCACAGCCAGGTGGACAGCGGGTGGATTTTGCGTGGCGTAAATATCGACATGGCGTTGACCGCCGCGTGGAAGGTCGACCATTTCCAATCACTCGTCGGCTGACCTCGTACCGATCGGACCAAGAACCCTGGTACCTTGGCCGTCGCGTCCAGTGCCGTGGACTCCAAGTCTAGTGCAGTTTCTTTCCCAGGCTGCGGTTCTAAGAGGGCAAGCCGCAGCACATACGCACGTCAAATAACCTTTATTGTTTACAACTTTAGATGGAAGATGTTCAACTGTGACGGTTTTTACGTCCCGTGTTTGGTGGTATGATGCTTGACAGAGGTTACAGTTATGCTAGTGATAACCCCTCCGCCTAGCCTCTTTGATAACATTGTTACATAAACAAATCCTGTGGGTAAGCACGGACGCTTTGTTCTTCGCGCCCTTGCATTCCGTCAATACCTCCCATCGATCTCCATCTGTTTACGAGGCTCCCTCTCAGCCGTTTATGCCATCAATCATAACTGTGACGGGAGGGTAGGGGAAGTGTGCTGGCTAGACTTTAAGCCCCAGCTACTAGATTGCGACCGTGTCCAGTTCCTATGCGGTAACTTCTCATTCGTGTCGTGCTCTTCCGACCGGTCCTGCCGACCTCAGCGTTTCTGACCTGAGCCTTCTGACCCGAACCCTTCCTTCCCGTCCTACCCATGCGTCCGTCCCGCTGTCTTTCCCACCCCTCCACTAGTCCCTCCGTCTGTCCCATCCGTCTGTCCCATCCGTCCGTCCCTTCGTCGTCGCTCGGTCCGACCCTCCACCGCTATCTCCCCGCGCGGCTCGCTCGGTCCACCCGCCTCAGTTTTTGCTCGGCCGGGGGCGCGGGGCGCGGGCCGCCGCGCGCGCGGCGACGCCGGCGGGGGAGCCGACCGCGCCCTTCGTCGCCCTCGACGCGGCCGGCCTCGCCGCTGTGATTCAGCGGCCGGCCGGTAGGGCGGGGCGCTGCCGGCGTCGCTGCGACGGACCAGTGCCGGTGCGCGGACAGCTGACGCCGACGTTCGCGGCGCGGCGCGGCGTGTGCAGCGGCGCGTGCGGCGTCGGCTGTACCTCACACGCGATGGGATGGCGCGTCTTGGGCTCAGGGGCGGAGCTGTCCGCCCTCGTGGCACTGAATAGGCAAGTGAGTGGTTTAATGTTCCACTCACTGTTCCTCCATCCGTGGTTTAATGTTCGGATTGGTACTAAGGCCGTGATTGGCCTTTTATGATCACTGCAGATTGATAGGAAGACGGTGTACGACGCATCCCTCCATCCAATTATGACTGGAGTACTCGGAGACGGCTTACAATATGTTTTGAGGCCGCCGCGGGATCTGCAAAACCTTGGCTCTAAACTTGTCCTTTTCACAGGCAGTTGTAGGAGCGCTCGACGCCGTGGAAAGACTTTAATCTACGCTCATACGCAGTAGGACATCTGTTGCGACGTGGGACGAAGGAGTCGATTTTAGGCGTGATTTTCATCACGCAAATGTTACCCAAACCGAAGAGAATGGAGGACGCCAACGTTGGCAACCATTGGTAGAAAGACTATTAATGCATTGGATTGTCTTACTTCCGCATGTCAGGGGATCGGGGGTGCACTCATGTTTAGCGTTTATGGCATTTGGCTGGCTTTAAATCTGCGAATGTCTGACAGTGGTAATCGGCCAGCTGTGTTGTTTTCAAACAGTTTGGTTGATTTATGGTTGTGGAAGTGCTGGAATCGACGCTTATGTATGAGGTGAGTACAAGTCTCAATAAACTGGGCTAACTTGGGTTTATTTACCGTAGTTGGGACCATTGGAAACAACGCCTCTTTGTTAGGTGGATGCCTATCACAATAAGCTGGGCTAAGGGCTTCTATAGTTTCCATTAGCCTATCTGCTCGGTTTAGCTCACATCATGTTCCAGTTGTAGCTGATTTCGGGAAGTGAAGCACGTATAGCTTTCCAGTCTATTGCTGGGTCGCCAATGGCTCTGACAGCATCAGTGTCGTTTAATGATGTGTTGACGGTATGTTTTACCATGTCGTCGAGCTGATTTCTCGTTTGTGCCTTTTTTGGCTGCCTGTATCTGAAATAAGCATTTTTACAAACGCCAAACAGACGGCATTGTCTCATCTCGCTGCGATGTCTGACGGCCGAAATTTGGACAGGTTGCTGGCCTCCCATGATCTTCAGCTTTGTTGGCAAGTTGAAAAGTGTAAGTTTTCCATGTTAATTGAATGGGCAGATGAAACAGCCGTGATATTGCAACGTTGCGGAGCCCCGTCGCTTAATCGTGCAGCCCGCATTGAATTACTGGAAAACATGGCAGCGTTAATTTTACAGAATTGTTCCACCTGTTGCTAAAACTTTCCTAGCGGTGTAACTGATGGCTACAGAGATATAAGCCCGTTCAAAGTGTTACCGACCGGGCCGAACTGAGCTGCCGAGCCTGGCACATTTCCGGCTGACAGTCGTCACGAACGCCCGGCCTGTGGCTTTGCTCACAACAGCACCCCTGCCCACACCGATCTGGAGGGACGGCACCTGTGGGGCCGCCGATCCAGCCAGCGTGGCCTCACGGCCCCGCGGAGCCCGGCCTCGGTGGCGGCCGCCGTCCAGTGAAATCCGCGGTGCTCGCGTGTGGGAATCGGCCGTGCCGTGCTGTCGGCGGCGTCGACCAGCCGCGGTTTTCTCCCGGCCGTCGCGCTGTCGGGGCCGGCTTTCGTTCGTGCCGTCACGAAGCGTCGGCCCGGCCCCGCGATGGCAGTCCGGCGGCCTCTTTGTTCGTCGGTGGTGCGTCCTTGGCGGGCAGTTTAATTGAATGTCGCAACAGCGCTGGGAGCCTACGGCGGGCCTGTTGCGGGCTGGCCAACGCTGGATGCGTTGACTCAGGGCTGCTGCCCCTCCCCCCTCCCCCTCCTCGCTCCCCGCCCCACGCAGCTACGCGCGCTTGCGATTGTCTCTCCCGTCGTGTTGCTGGTTGGCAGTTTTCCGGTAGAGTTCGTACAAGTCGGAGAGTATGTGTTGTGGGAATCTTAACTGATATTCTACCTGACTCTCAGTCTGAAAGGCTCTCCTCAGGCGGGCTCTTTCGGAAGAAAAACGTGCTTTCCCGCTCGCGTTACCTGGCTGGTCGTAACACCCGGTTATCGCCTGGCTAGCGACAACCCATCGTCGGCTCCCATTTCTCCGGGATGAAGTGGCAGGCCTTCCCCGCCGTCTGTGCTCGCTCCCTGCCAGCCGGCACCCCAGCGTCAGCTCCGGTCCCATCATCACGGCATGGCAGGCCGGCCGGAGGGGCCACAGCTGCCGCTGCTCCCTCGTCGGGACGTGTCTGCGCCACTCAGGCCGCCGCTCCCAGCGGGGCGTCCGGCACCGGCGGCTTTAACGCGGACGGGTCCCGCTGGGGAGGCGCCGGCTTTTAAATCCCGCCAGCGGAAGAGCGACACGAGGAAGGTGGCACCCGGCTGGCGACTGCTCACCGGCAGTCGTCTCGCGTGCCGCGTCTGGACGGCGCGTCGTTCGCCTGTTGTTCCAGCGCGCCCTCCTCGCGCCCAGTGAGGCCCGTCCGTTCCGGCTGCGCCTGTCCGTGACGCCTCCGCCGCCCGAGGGAGGGGAGGAGGGCGAAACCGGCGCCCTCTGGGGCAGGAGGTGCCCGCCCGTGACCCCTGCCAGTCACGGGGGGGGGGGGGGAAGAGCTGCCACCCGGCCCCGCCCCCTGGCCGTGTCCCTCCGCCTAAGAGGCGTGCGTGCGGCCGCCTCTCCGTTCCGCTCGGTTCGTCGCCAGGGGGCGTCGGTGTATGCTCAGCGGGCGGCCCGGTCGGGCAGGTGGCCGGCCAGCGCCCCTCGGCCGGCACGTGCCGCCGCGGCGCGCCCCTCCCTCGCCCCCCGCCCCGCGCCATGGGTGGCGCGCGGTAGCTGCGGCGTGCTCGTGGGGTTGTACTACACGCGCCCGACGGCGACCGCGGCACGAGCGGGGTCGTGGGTGGGCCGGTGGCGTCTCGAACCGGACGTTCGCGCTGATCGTCAACATACGACACGGCGGGTTTTCACTTTGCATCGGGCCTTGAAAACGGCGGCGCTGGCCTGAATCGCCGCCACCTGCTTACGACACAGACCACGTCGCGGTAGCGGGCCGGAGAGCCGGTGGTGCTAGTGACCCTGCCGCTCAACCCATCCGGAAGAAATCACGACCGGGAACGGCCCGGCCCCAGCGGGCGTGGGCCGAGCTGCAGCGCCGTCTCGGCCATTCGATCGGCGATCGACCGCAACGGTTTGGCGGCCGAACTGCCGCTCAGGTGGCGCGGGCCGCCCGGCCGCCGGCGCGCCCCACGCGGCACGGGGTCGGGACGCCGGCTCAGGACACCGCGTTTGCTCAGCTGAGGCGCCGGCGGGCGGTGGGCGGTGTGGACGAAGGTCCGGTCGGTGTCCGTGCTCTGCGCAGGTGCGCGGGGGTATTTTTGCGTTCTGGTTTGCTTGTCACGCCGAGCCGGTCGCAGCATTGCGTTGCGAGGTCGTGAGAGGCGTTGCATCTGTCGCATGCGGTTGTGCCAGCAGTTGTTACGTACGGCAGAGCTCTTGGACCCAAGTGATGAGTATGGTGGACCGGTGGACGCGCTCGGGCACAGGCGTCAAGACGAGTGATGAAGGACACACGTGTGAAGCGAATTCCCCACATCTCGCCCACACCACCGCATACCATCTCGCCACATTCCAGACGAGCCTGCGGTGGTTGCAGTACAGGCACGGACAATGTAAATCCTCCCAAGCTGGCGGAGCCTTTTGGTTATTTAGTTTCAGTCAACATCCGTAGGGCTGATGTCAATGTCGTAGGAACGTGGAGGGGGCGGGGAAGGGTACGTGAGCTTAGCCTCCGCCACGTGCCCCCAGTTCCCGTGTCCCGAAGCGCACGGTGTCTAAACCCGGTGGCACGTGCGTCTAAGTCCGACCGTGCGTGTCCGCAGATGGGTGCAGGAGTTCCTGAATGAACACAACAACGGCCTCGAGGTGCTGGTGGACTACCTCACTTTCCGACTCATGCTAATGAGGTGAGAAACACCGCGGCGGCGCGCCCGCGGGCTTCGAGAGGACCATCTGCGGGGGAGTAGAGGGATGAGATCAGGCGTGACCTGTATTCGCATCTGGAAGTCAACCTTTATGGGTGGGGGCTGATAAGACGAGGTGTCCGGTGTCGGCGTCACAGGCTCCGTTCAGTGCGGATCGGTGTGGCCTGGTAACATCGCCGGCAAAGGCCCCTGGGATGCGGGAGCATGGTGAGCGTGATACACTGGGCTGGAGACGGACGGGCATGGCGCCGGGCTCTGCTCTGATGCCGGTGAGACGGACGGTCATGGCGCCGGGCTCTGTTCTGATGCCGGTGAGATGGACGGGCATGGCGCCGGGCTCTGTTCTGAGGCCGGGGTATGCACCTTTTAGTATTCGAGTATTAGGCGATGCGACAATGTCCATAGTCAATGTTTCAGGCTGTGTGGGTACTGGCTGCTCTTCACGAATGATTGTGTGCGAGGGTTTGCCGGGACGTTTTTGTGAGAGCGTGCTGTGACTGTGACGTCGAACTGGTTGTGTTCAGCTGGCTTCAGGACAGCTGCTCGTGGCGGGTCTAATTTGGATACGTCGTATTCGTTGGCGCACATGGCAATCACGCGTAATCGTGATCGATTTTCACTCAGATGAAGGTCATTGGGGTCTGTCATAGATATCATCTCGCCCACAATGGGCTTGATCGTCTGTGAAATGCTGGCATCAGCCGTGCCTGGGTGTCATGTGCCATTTTGCATGCCGTTCCCCCATCATCCCCCCTTTCGACCGCCGTCCCCAATTTCAGCCGTGGCGTTGATTGTGCCGTGCCATAGACTGATCACATCAGCACTGTCAAAACCATGCGGCGCTCGCTACGCCTGCACCATCCCCGCCGCGTGTCCAGGGGAGGTCAGACGATCCGTGGCGGGCCCCCCCCCCCTCCCTCCTCCCCCGCTCCCCCGTCGCCGGCCGACCCCAGCTGTCCTGCCCTGTCCTGGCCGCCACGCCGTGGCCCCGTGTGCGGCCCCGGGGCGGCGCGGGCGCTCGTTTGAAGCTGGCGCCGGTGATCGGCGGCACCGGTTGGCCCGGCTGACCTCTGTGACCTCTGGCGGCGCCGTCGGCAGTGCCGCGCGATGGACGCGAGCACTGGTCGGGCTCCTCGCGGCTGATTTGCGGCGGATGTGGGTGCGGACGGATGAGACCCGATGTAATCATCTGGACGACTTCGTGATGCACGTGGTCCGTGTGCAGGCCGATACGGAGTTAGCACAGCTGCTGCAGCTGTTGCTAGAGCTGCAGGTTGATTCGTTTGGGGGTGGGGGTGGGTGGGGGGGGGGGGGGCATAGTCGTGTAAGTTCGCCACAAAACATCCATAATGTCACCATCATCCATCGCGGCACCACTCTCACTCATGACATCACTCATCACACCAATACTTACCACGACACCATTCATGACCTCACCGCCCGGGAGTGCTGACGCCTCCCCCACTCCGGCCTGCTCCGTTGACGCCTCGCCGCCGGCGGCAGACACGAGCAGCGGGTGAAGCAGCAGCTGGAGGAGGAGGCCGAGGAGCTGGAGCGGGGCGGCGCCGAGCCGCCGCGGCCCGAGCGGGAGCCGCCGCCGCGGCTGGAGCGCGCCGCCTGGGCGCGCCAGAGCTTCATCGACCAGATGGACACGCCCAAGCTGAAGCGAGCGTCGCGCCACATCGCCAAGCTCAACATGGGCGACACCAAGGACGACATCCACGTCTGCATCATGTGTCTGCGCGCCATCATGAACAACAAGGTGGGTGGCCGCCGGCGCCGCGCGGCGACGGCGCGGCGGCTGTTTGCGACGGGCGCGGTCGGCCGCGGTCGCTTCCGTCCGGAGATGGACCGGCGGCCGCTGGGCCCGCTGCCGCCGCCGCAGGCCCCGGGCAGCGTCACCCTGCCCCCCACCCCCCACGGCCACATCCGGTCGCCCCTCTGCAGGCGTCGGCGGGGGGGGGGGGGGCAGGATGTGAGCGGGTACGTGATGGAGCCGGCGGGCCCTGCCATGCGGGTTGGAGCCAAGTCGTTCCCAGCGTTTACGGCCGTTTTACACGGCTGGTGGGGACGGTCATGGGCGGTCGGCTGCTGGCTGTGGCCCGTCCGACGGCTTGACCTTCGGCGCGGGACGCCAGCGTTGATGCTGCCCTTCGGCAGTGAGCTGCCGGCGTTTGTGTTGGCCCCCACCTGGGAATCGCGGGCACTGGTGTTTACCTCCGAAGTGAACCTCGGCGTTGTATTGCGGCTCTAGCTTTCGTGTGTCGCGAGCGCTGGTATCAACCTTCAGCGGGGAATGGTCGGAGCGCGTATTGACCTTCAGCTCTGAGGCGGACATTGGCGCTGAGCCGCGAAGTGGACCTTCAGCTTGGTATTGCTGCTTTGAGCTACTGCTGACGTCCGGCGGGCCAGGGCTGTCCAACGCCTGCCGAGGCTGCACGGCTGCCTGCGCCCAGCTCTGTCAGATCGCTGTCAGGTGCTGCCCGGGCGGGCGCCCCGCCCTTAACACCGGCTCGACCGGGGCCCCAGCGCACAGCGCGCGCACACGTGTTCGGATCGGCGGGCCGGGCTAAGAGGATGCGGAGCCCGGGGGTGCGTGGTTACAAGTAACGAGCCTTTAAAGCGCTGTAAGGTGTCGACACGGGATCCGTTAGTGCGCCTGCTGACTGTCCCATTAAGAAATGAACTGCCAGCTTCGATCAGGCTGTGGCGGCCCCCGGAGTGGAAGGGCGTTTGATGGCGCATTAACGACATGCTAATTAGGAGCGGCTCGATAGCCGCTGCCCCGTTTTCGGCTCATCGACCGGCCTGGTGAGAGCCGCCTCGCGACGACTCCGGACTCGTCCGCGGGCCCGGTGTCGGCTCGCTCCGCGGCCCGGCGGATTGATAAAACAACGTCACATCTGCTCTATAACACTTTGATTATTCCTTATTCAAATGATTGCTGCTTGATTTTGGGTGTGAATTATGCTTCTCAAATAGATCGGCTAGAAATTTTGCAAAAAAGGGCTGTGCGTGTGATAGAAAACGTGTACCCTCCACAAAGCGCCGAGCCAATCTTTAAACGATTCAAAGTTTTGAAATTATCGGATATCTCTAAATCCCAAATGTTAATTGTAATTTACAAATTTCTGTCGTCACAGCTTCCTGCGTCATTCGATTTGATATACAAGCTCTACGAATTGAATAAAAGGGATATGAGATACAACATGTAGGCGAACCTTTCTCTATTCGGAATTATAGACTATTTACAACATCTTGCCCTAGCCCTAAGCTGTGGAACGATGCTATTGATTTCATATTTTCCTAGAATGATTGATGCATCAAAAACCATCGTTAAGAACATCATCTGCGAGCGTTTCGTGAATACATATTTACGTAACCAACATATTTCAAGATATTGCAATTTTTGCCCTGCAGGTATGTAACTCACGTCATATTTAACCTCCTTTATGCTCCATAATGACGTTTTGATATAGTCATATTCATGCACTCGTACCCAAATTCATGGCGCTGGCTCCGGGAGTTCTTCCAGCAACAAGCTCCGCTTAGCTGGGTGGACTCCCTGGACATCCAGCTCAAAACCCAGCACGAAAATGACCAGTTAATTGCCCCTCTGACTTGTGTGATTGTACAATCCGTACTAACATTGTGAATGAGCGGTTGTCGCTTATCGGGTGGCTCTAGCGGGCTGTCATTAGCTGACTTGGGCTATTACTAGTTCAGGCCTTCTTATGTATTATTTGTTCTTGCCTATTGCATGACACAATTCCTGCCTGGTCCGCAGCACCTCTTCGCCTGCTTCTTTATGTGTTTCCTCGTCCCAGCTGGGAGTGCCGCAACTTGATCTTATGTTTTCTGGTATTAACGTGCGGTTTATTGCGTCACTGGGATAGAGGGAGGAGCACTCCTGCTCACCTGTTCTTTGGTAACGGTATAGAATAAAAGGTCGCTGCCGTGACCTCACGCGGGGCCGGGCCGCGGCGGGGTCATGTCGAGCTGGACCCTCCTCGAACGCCTGCCGTCAGTAACCGTCTGGTGCCTCCCCCCTCCCCCCATGAGGTGGGCTGGCTGCGCTGGACACGCCACGGTCCTTGGTGCAGCTGGGGACGCCGCGATAGCGGAAGTCACGGTGGTTTTCAGGAGCGCAGGTGTCCCCATCGCCATGGTGTACGGAGTTCGGTGCGCGCCTCATGAGATGTCCAGGAATGAATTGTTTGGTCCGCCGATGATTTGTAGAATGGCTAGTCTCGCGTTAAGAGTGCTGCTCGTGCTTACTTCCGGTCGGAGCAGGCTCAAGCTAATCAATCAGCTTAGTGGTTTTTGTGGACACGGTTGTGGAAATGTAACGTATGAGGGCTCTCCAGTTGACCTGCACTAGCACGAATGATGGCCGTCAAACATGTGATAAACATCGTAAATCCCGTACTGAAGGACGTCTGTGCGAAAGATCGCTTTGGGAGATCAATCATCCACCTACATTTGTTACCGTCTGCCATTAAAGCTCTCACTGTTTATTTGTGGCGTGCGTTATGCGGTGCTGAAAGAAGTACGGTGTTGATTAATTTACATTTCGCGATTTATCAGGTTACAATAAGGTTACAATACGAACGCGGGATGTGATCAGGAAGTGGATGGTTTAATGGTTTAATTACGTCACGCGTGTCACCGGCTGTGGAATCTCTAAGCCGCTTGTGATCATTTCGTCGCGACTGGGCTGCGAGGTAGCCTGTCATCAATGTATAATGCCCATGACATTCTCGGCTCTATCTTTCAAAGTTCCGCCGCCTGCTGGGTTCGTTTTGGTGTTTACGCACCCAGATGCACTCACGCACCTTCCTGTTCCAGTTCGGCTTCAACATGATCATCGAGCACCTGGAGGCCATCAACAGCATAGCGCTCAGCCTCAACCACAAGAGCTTACGGTGGGTGCCGCCCGTGATCTGGGAGTGCTGCGGATGATCTGCGGGTGCCGCAAGGAGTGCCCTGGGTGCCCTGAGCACTCGGATCCCTGCGTGGCTGAGCGGCGATCACTCATGCGGCGGCGTCCGGCGGCGCCTGGCTTGCGACGTCCGCCGGTGGCTGCGGCTTGTTACGGGGCCCTCCAGCCCGATGACTTGTTTGTTGAGAGCTGGCCCGCTGATGGGCGCCCTCACGGCGCGTGACGGCGCGGAGACCGCCGAGCTGCACTGATATATGACCTGTTGATTGGATGGCAGGGCCATTAGGGGACCCTGGGACGGGGCGAAGATCAACTGACAGGTGACGCCACCCGTGGCGCCGCGATGCGCTGTACTTGACGTGATGGCCCGCCGGGTCGGCCGGTGGGCTGGCTGCTCGGTAATCCGACGCGCACGCCGTGCACGGGCCCGGCTGGAACGCCTGCGGTCGTCGCCTGGTGTTTGTCGAGGATCAGGTCGGACCGGCGCCTGCCGTGGTGGCGCGGCCGGTCAGCGTGCCGGCGCCGGGACGGCAGCCGGGCGCCGGGGCCGCCGCCGGGACGCGTTCGTGGCCGACCCGAGCGGAGGGTCCGGCGGCGGTGGGGACGGGGAGCTGAGGGCAGGGCAGGACGGCGGCGGTCGTCGCTGACCAGGCGGCGAGACGAGACGAGACGGCGAGGCGGGGGATCTGTCATAGCCCCGGCCGTGCGCTCAACAGCCCCCTGTTGACGCTGCAAAACCGACGCTGCAGCCCTGCTCCGCCTTCACCACACAGCAGAGCGGCCGCCTGTTTGGTCGGACGCCCGGCGATGGACGCGCCGCCAGGGCGAACATGTCGCATCGTCCATCCGTCCCGCGCCATGACGCGCCGCCGGCCGGCCGGAGCCGTGCCCGGCCCTGGGGCGGAGGCACCGTCCGGCCGCGCGGCGGCGGACGCGCTCCGGCCGGCGCCACCCACGCGGCGGGCCGCGCGCTGCGGCCACGGAGGCCGGCCGGACTGGCCAGAGGAGCGGCGCGCACCCGGCACCACCCACGCGGCAGGCGCGGCCGCGCGGCGTCGCGTCGGCCGGAGAGCACCCGTCGGGGGCACGGCTCCTCGAGGGCGTGCCGCTCCTCGCGCGGGGGTGGAAGAGGCTCTCGTGACGCGACGAGAACGCGAGGAGAAGCGGCCAGACGTGCCGAACGCGTATGGTGTAGTCGTCGCCGGCTCTGTCGTTACAGTGTACTGCGGACGTATTTGTGGCACAAGGCAACCTGATATTTTTGTACGCGCTTTGGCCAGCCAGGCGCACTTCTTCTCAGAAGGCGCTGGACCTGGGTCATGCAGGCGAACAGGCCTGCTATGCAGTACGTCATCTCTCGACTAACTGTTGACATTAACCCGACGGCTGTTTAGGTTCGGCCGCGACGAGCGCTTACTACGCTCTTAACCAATGAGCCTCACAGAACTGGGTCAGCGCTACTCGCTAGCGTCTTCAGCCGCGGGCCGGGTCAGGCGACGGCGCTGCGCACGGACAAGCGCCGCGCAAGCGGCCTTGCGCCTGCGGGCGTCCTGCGGGCCCGCCGCCGCCGGCCCAGGGCTCCGGCGCCTCAGCCTGCTGACACGGGCGGAGGCGCCCGGCGCCCAGCCGCGGCTCCGGTCGGCCGGCGCGGTGCCGTGCCGGCGGCGGATGCTGCGGTCGCGTCGTGAGCGTCTGCTGAGCCGGCTCGGCTAGCGCGGTGACGTCACGGACGCCCGGGCCGGTTGCCGGCTGACCAGTGGCGCGGGCTGCCGGGGCGTCCGCGCCGTGGGAGCGCGGTGACGCCCGCTTTCTCGGGGGGGGGGGGGGCGTGTCTCCGCGATGGCCGCGGGGTGTCGTGCGAGTCCCCGGCGCCGAGCTGCGAGCGAATGCCCCGTGACCCGCGCCGGTCGTGCCGCGCCGACGGGTTTTCCCAGACCGCATCCGCGACGTTCGTGCTCGCAGTGGCCACAGCGCGGGCACCGGAACCGCGGCTGTCACGGTCCTAACAGCCCGGGTGTCGCCGTCCATCACTATGGACACCTCCCATCTCGCGGGGGGGGGGGGGGGCGCCTCCGTTGCTGCCGCTGACCTTGCTGCCCGTGCTGGCGCCGGCAGGACCAAGGCGCTGGTGCTGGAGCTTCTGGCCGCCATCTGTCTGGTGAAGGGCGGCCACCAGATCATCCTGGGCGCCTTCACCAACTTCAAGGAGGTATGCTCCGAGGACCGTCGCTTCCAGACGCTCATGAAGTACTTCATCCACTACGAAGTCTTCCACATCGAGTTCATGGTAAGTTAAAGTGCTGGTGGTGTTTTGTGTAGGCGTCAAACATGCGTAACCTGGTAGGTAACTGTGTGTCATGTTTAGGTCTCCCTCTTCGAAATCAACGCCATCAGCTCGGTACGTGGTCAAAAGGCTCATTTAATGCGGGTGCTTGGTCGTTACCTGGGCCAGCCTTGGTATGAACTGTGTTCGCGAAGCAGCGGGCTATTTTTTCCATGATCCACTTCAGGAGACGCGACCGGCTGCCGGCGTACTGAAAGGCCGCTTACTGTTGCTGGCTCCGCGCTGGGGCATCGATGTGCCACAGTATCGGTCGCCGAAAGGCTTCCGATCAGTGTGGCGCTGGGATTCTGCGACGGGAGTACCTTACGAGTTTGCAGGTCATTCTGCCGGCTCCGGTGGAGCGATCAGAGGGGTGGCCGCCATCCTCTGGCTCGCCGAGCCGGCCTGAGACCCGCCCGCCCCTCCCCAGGTGGCCTGCATGCAGTTCATCAACATCGTGGTGCACTCGGTGGAGGACATGAACTTCCGCGTGCACCTGCAGTACGAGTTCTCCATGCTGGGGCTGGACGAGTACCTGGAGAAGCTGCGGCACACGGAGAGCGAGGAGCTGCAGGTGAGAGCGGAGCCGCCTGGCGGCCTCCCGTCCGGCGGAAGAGCGCCGGCCATCAGTGGCCGCGTCGCGCGCGCCGCGCTGCGCCGGCCGCGGCTGAGGACTTCAGCTGGCGTGCTTGGAGACTGCAGTCGCCAGCTGACCCGCTGGCCACCTGTAGCGCTGAGCTGAACCGCAGGCGACCGTCCGGCCGGCTTGCGAGACTCCGCGAGACTCCGCAAGACTCTCCGAGACTCGCGACACCGCTGACGCCGGGTGTTGCTGCTCGGCCTTTTGCGGACCGCCGCTGACGCCCGTGGTCACCGCATGGTGCCGTCCCGAGACTGCTCTGGCCCTCTGGTGGCCTGGGTGCCGTGCTGGACTTACCCCGTGTCCCCCGCGCGCTTTCCAGGTGCAGATCTCGGCGTACTTGGACAACGTGTTCGATGTGGGCGCGCTGATGGAGGACTCGATGACCAAGGCCATCTACATCGAGAAGGTGGAGGAGCTGGAGTCGGAGCTGGCGCAGACGCAGGAGGAGCTACAGGAGGTCGAGGTGGAGGCCATGCAGAAGGTGGCCGACCTCGAGGTTGCCACTGCCGATATCCGGCGTGAGCGGGACGAGCTGCTGGAGAAGATGCAGCAGGTGAGGACGTCATCGTGGCGGACTCTCGCGTGGGTGGGACAGCTCAGATCCCGGAGGCGTGACTGACGTGGTGAGGTTTGGACCTAAGTGGGTGCAGATACGGTGTCGTAGCGAGGTCAGCGTTGGATGGAAAGGTGACGGTGGCGCATTGGCACTTGGCTGTTGCCGAGGCTCGGTCGCGGGTTAGGTCAAACTGGGAGAATTCGGCGCCCAACTTGCGGGGCTGACCATGCCCTCCTTGCTGACCCTGCCCTCGGTTTACAGTTCACTGAGGAGGTGACGTCGCTGCGCCGGGTGGCCTCTGAGAAGGAGGCGGAGTCGATTCGGCGCCAGTCCATGCTGGAGAGCAAGATCCAGCAGCTGGAGACGTTCGCGCTCACCATACCGCAGGGCTCGGGCGGCGCGGCCGGCTCCGGCGCCGGGGTGGGCCCGGCCGCCGCCGGCGGCGCGGCCCCGCCACCGCCACCGCCGCCGCCTCCCCCGCCGCCGCCGCCGCCGCCGCCCGGCGGCAGGATCCCGCCGGCGCCGGCGCTGCCGCCGGGCCGCGGCGGGCCCCCGCCGCCGCCGCCGCCGCCCGGCCAGCTGCAGCTGCCGCAGGACGGCTCGCTCACCATCAAGCGCCGTCTGCAGACCAAGCACAAACTGCCCACGCTCAACTGGATCGCGCTGAAGCCCAACCAGGTGCGGGCGGGCAGACGGGCTCCGCGAGCGGGCGGCGACATTGACGCTCGGACAGCGGTGTTGTGCGGTCGGCCACGAGCTCTACCCAGCGTGTTTGGACTTCGTTTCGATTGGTTGCTCGTGTGATCGAGTCCAGTGCTTGGCTTGCGGATCGGCACGTGATGTACCGGCTTCGACGTGGAAAGGCATCAGTGCTTGGGCCAATCGGTGTTTGGTCTTTGTATGAGCGGTAATACGAGGTCCCGCTCCTGGGTAGCTAGCTGCCGTTGATTGGGACCGGTGGGCTCCGGTGACCTGACCAGGCAAGACACCCCCCTCTCCCCCACCCCCCACCGCTGACGCCGCTCGCGCTCACGCCAGGTGCGCGGCACCGTCTTCAACGAGCTGGACGACGACAGGCTAATGAGCATCATCGACTTCGCCGACTTCGAGGAGAACTTCAAGATCGGCACCAGCCTGCTGGCCAACGGCACCCTGGACAGCCGCGACGGCGCGTTCGGCACGCTCGGCAGCAAGCGCTTCAAGCGGCCCGAGAAGACCTCGCTGCTCGAGCACAACCGGCTGAGGAACATCGGTGAGGGCCGGGCCACGGGAGGCGGACGGCTGTGGCGCGCGCGTCTGGTGGCCGATGAGACTTTGAATGGGCCGGAGGATGCCAGTGGCTGGAAGTCACGTGATTCATAGCGTTTGTGACATGGTGTGGCGGGCGTGCCGTGACTCACCCGGCAGTGTAAATGTTTAGAAAACGGGCTCATCTCCCAGGCATGGTGTCCTTGTCTGGCAGCGCTATGCCGCGGGCTGCGGCTCGTCTGCGCTCTTCGCCCGGCTTGGCTCTGAATCTGCTGTGCACCCATTATTTTGGAATGGTCCGCCGCTCTTTGGCGGTGGTGGACGAACCAGTGGCCTCCGCGAAGCCTTGGGTCTCGGTGCACGCTGAAACAGGCGTGTTACTTAATGTACTGTTCGGAGGGGGGGGGGGAGGGGGGTTAATCTGAGATCTTATCACCAGGCCGACGGCGAGGTACATAACGAACTTCCCACGAAGTAAAAAACTCGAGCCGTCCCCCCAATCGTGTTTGGAGAGCGTCACCTGCAGCGTCCCCCCCCCCCCCTCCTCTCTACATCCCCTGGCGACGGGAGTCGTCCCGGTCCGGCCCCGCCGGCCATGACGCCTTCCGCGCCGCGCCGGCAGCGATCTCGCGGCGCAAGCTGGAGCGGCCTGTCGAGGAGGTGGTGCGCGCCATCAACATGCTGGACCTGAAGACGCTGCCTCTGGAGATGGTGGAGCTGCTGCAGCGCATGGTGCCCACCGAGGCAGGAGGTGGGGCCGGCGCCGTTTGGTCTGCGTGGTATATGTATATATATGATCTAACATGACACAATATCTCATTTTTACCTGCTTTTTAGACAATTATTCAAATTTCTGAATTGTTTCCCGTCGTCGGAACTGTTAAAGAATGGACGTCTATGTTATCTCGTAACGGTTCATTGGCTCTGCCAACATCATCAGACAACAAAGACGCAACTGTACACGACAATGTAAGCATTCGTGATTACGTTGGCTCGAAACTATATTTCGCGTTTCTAGTACTCAAAACGGGTAATTCGGTTTTATGAAAGCCTGCTATCATGTCCGCCAGGAATGGGCACCTCGTATAATGGCGAACACTGGCAAGGTCTTTGTCCGGCTTTGTCACTTGCCCCACCGCCCCATTTTACGGCTTGTGTCTATGTGCCAGAGACTGTCCATCCCGCAAGTACAGTATGCCCGCATATCCATCGTATCCGGCCTATCCATCCATCCGTCCATCCATCCATCACATCATATCCATCTCCGTCGGGTTGCCGGATCTTTATCCCGGATATAAACGGCTTCCAGCTCGTCCAGTTTCACTTTTTGCGTGCACTTGGCCGGTATGGTGGTAATTTCCGCCATTGCGGGTCGAGACAGTGCTCTCCACGAGGCGATGCTACATGCCGCCGTGACGCTCCGTCCTCCGGTCAGCCGTCGTGATAGTGGGGTCGTAGTGCGGCCGATGCACGAGTGTGGTCGACGCACGCAGTCACACAGGCGGTATTTGAAAATGGCCAGCGTTGTGCACGAGTTTAGTGGTTGTTATGTGTAGCTTGACTTATGTTATGTGTAAATGAGTAATTTTATGTCTAAAAGGCAAGTCACCGTCATGAAAACTGGCATTTTCAATGAGACATGCCTGGAGGAGAGCGTGCTCCCTGACTTCAGTAATATGTATAGATATAGCTGGATGTACCGGTATGTTAATGAATCAAATGGACAGGGCCACCGGAATCATTGATAATGTAATGGAAGCATGGAGAGAGTTGGTCGAATATATATATATATATATATATATATATATATTATATATATATATATATATATGTATATCGTATCGTAATATATAACAGTATGGGTGTATTGAAGCATAACATGATTGTGGTATGCAATATGATACCATACGTGGAGAATACGGCTACATGGAGAGAAGTAGGTCAACAGAGGTCTTTGATAAGCTTGCTCCCATCTCACTGAGTGCTGTGTGAGCTGCCCCGGCAGCTGTCTGACCTGCTCGTGACCCCCGCGGGACCGTGCCCCCCCCCCCCCCCCCCCCCTCCGGCGGCGCGCTGTACCCTGGCCGGCCGGCTGTCCGCAGACCAAGCTGTACCGCGAGTACGAGGCGGAGCGCAAGGACGCGTCGGCGCTGACGGACGAGGACCAGTACCTGATCCAGCTGTCGCGGGTGGAGCGGCTCGCCAACAAGCTGGCCGTCATGGCCTACATGGGCAACTTCTTCGACAACGTCCACCTGGTGCAGCCGGTCAGTGGGGCGGCAGGGATGAGGTGTCGCGCGGGATGAGCCGGGAGGATCGGCGTGCTGGTTTTCTGTCTGGAGTTTTCTCGCGGGAGTGTGGGGAAGCGGCGTGCGGTTGCATTAGTCGAAGAAACTGAGTGGCCAGGGTACATCGTGTAGGATTGTCTCTGGTTCTATGCAAGACCTCCATGAATGGGCGTACTGCCTTCTTTTGATGGCATTTCGTCAAGTTAAGTAATCTGCGTGACCCTCGTCTAGCTAAGCTGTTACAACTGCTAATAAGAATACATAAAAGATGTGCTTTATCCAGAACTGGCGGTCGAGCTTGTGAGCTGAGCTGCTCAAGCCTGAGCGATGGGTGACTCCGTGAAGACGGCCTGGCTGTCATGCCCCCTTTGAGCGTCAGTTTGGCCAGGCTCACGCCGATGAAGCCGAAAACTCCCAACAGAAAGCGTCACCGAACGTCCTCCTTCCGGTGATGCCTGGTATCTCTCGGCAGCAAATTCATGCGGTGATCAGCGCCTCCAACTCCATTGTGGCGTCGAAGCGCCTGCGCCGCGTGCTGGAGGTGATCCTGGCCTTCGGCAACTACATGAACAGCGCCAAGCGCGGCCCGGCCTACGGCTTCAAGCTGCAGTCGCTTGACAACCTGACGGACACCAAGTCGACAGGACAAGCGGCGCTGCCTGCTGCACTACATCGCGCAGACGATGCACGAGCGCGTGCCGGAGGCGGTGGGCGTGGAGTCGGAGCTGCGCTTCGTCGAGAAGGCCGCTCAGGGTGAGTGGCGGCCGCGCGGGGCGCTGCCGCCGACGGCCGGCCGGCCGACCGGCGGCACGTGCGCGGCAGATTGGCGTGATTCGCTTCATCAGCGCGCGATGGGTATTTCCTGTGTCGCGGTTGGGCGTGACGTGTCGCCGGGTGTTGGCGTCGCGTGACGTGTCGCCCGGTGTGTCGCCGCGTGTCACCGTGTGTCGCAGTGACGTCCTGTTTCGTGTTATGGCTCTGTGCTGCGGTGTTGCAACGTGTCACGGCGTCATTCTGTGTCTGTGTGCCTCCCCACGGCTCGGTGTGGTCTCGATGTTGTCGCAGTCTTACCACGTGTCGCAACCTCGTCCTATGTGGCGGCGTCGCTTCGTGTTGCATTACGGTCACGGTTTGACAGCACGGTCCTGTGTTGCAGTGTCGCTGGAGAACGTGCTGACGGACGTGCAGGAGCTGGAGAAGGGCATGGAGGCGGCGCGCCGCGAGATGTACGTCCGCCAGAACGTCAAGGACGAAGCGATGAAGACGGCGCTGCGCGACTTCCTGGCAAACTCGGACGACAAGTTGCGGTGAGCGGCCGATGGTCCGACCCAAGCGGTGATGAAACCCGACGGAAGGGGCCACCAGAAAAAGGAGGGCGTGGGGGGGGGGGGCAGGGGCTGACGGAACAAACACCGAACTACGGGAGTCGAGCACGAGGGGAGATGGTGCGAGCGGTCTGGGGTTCGGTCGTCACCCGTCCGCGGCGGCGAGGAAGGGGCGCCGGCCGGGCCGGGCCGGCAACGGGACCCGCCGCCGGCCGCCCGGCCGCCCGGCCGCCCGGCCGCGTCAGGCCGACCTTTGGTCGGCCGCGGCGCTGCGGTCCGTGCCCGGCGCTGTTTATGCTGCCGGCCGGGCCGGGTGCGTGGCGTCGTCCAGAGGCCGGGCGCCGAGCTGGGGCGGAGCGGTCGCGGCTGAGCGGGGCCGCGGCGGCGGCGGTGCGGCCGCCGACGCCGGGCGCTATGGCCCAGCTCGGTCTGCCCGACGAGCGCCGGGCGGAGATTCCACAGCCCCTGCTGCGACCGGGACGGGTGGGTGACGACGCACCGACAGCCGCGGTCAGTTGGCGGCGAGGTTGGGGGGTGATGTTGGTGCGGAGCGCTGCGAGCTGACGCGGCCGTGTCCGGCGCCCGGCAGACGGCTGCGCACGGAGAGCAAGACGGCGCAGGAGGCGTTCTCGCGCGCCGTGGAGTACTTCGGCGAAAGCAGCCGCGCCGTGGCCGCCAACACGTTCTTCGCCATCTTCGCCCGCTTCCTGAAGGCGCTGAAGGTGCGTGACCAGAGCAGAGCAGAACATGCAGGATGAGAGGGGGCGCGTCGAAAGCGCTCGTCTTTGATGTGCTTGTTTATATTTCAAAAGTGTGATGTTATTCTCAGAGCTGCAGTCAGATGCGCAGTGTTTCTGCGATGTGTCAATTCAAGTGAACTTGTATCGGAGATTTTTTCGTCGTAATCTTCTGATCTGTCGTATCCAATACGCCCCATGCCGCTTGGCAAGTTCAGAGGTACTGTTGACATGATGACGTGGTCGTCATTTTCACGTGATCGTTTGGACGCCATGATGTTAGGTGGAGAATAGGATGGTTGCTACTCATTAGTGCTACTCACCATCTCCAGTGCTTGACGGTGGCTCCTCCATTTGCCCTGAATGCCGGCTGTACGATACCAATGGTCAGACCTGGCCAGACCTTGCCTAGCCTAGTCTAGTGTAGTCTAGTCTAGTCTAGTCTAGTCTAGTCTAGTCTAGTCTAGCCTAGTCTAGCCTAGCCTAGCCTAGCCTAGCCTAGCCTAGCCTAGCCAGCCCAGCCTAGCCCAGCCTAGCCTAGCCTAGCCTAGCCTAGCCTAGCCTAGCCTAGCCTAGCCTAGCCTAGCCTAGCCTAGCCTAGCCTAGCCTAGCCTAGCCTAGCCTAGCCTAGCCTAGCCTAGCCTAGCCTAGCCTAGCCTAGCCTAGCCTGACGTAGCTTAGCCTAGCGTAGCCTAGCCTAGCCTATCCTAGCCTAGGCTAACCTAACCCGGCCTCGCCTGACCTCGCCTGACCTCACCTGACCCGGCCTCACCTGGCCTGACCGGACCTGGGCCACACATACTCTATCTTACCAGACCTTCCTGTGACCTGGGCCCGCCCGCTCACCGTGACCGTGGCCTGACGGCAGGTGGCGGAGCAGGAGAACGAGCACCGGCGTAAACTGGAGCGGGCGGCCGAGGCGGCGGCGGCTGCGCAGCGTGACAACAACAACGTCGCCAGCGTCAACAAGCGCAACAAGATCAACGCCAAGAAACAGCAGGTGGGTGTCCGGGCGCGGCGTCGGGGCGGTATGTCTCAGGTCAGCGGGGAGTGACGGGCCTCTGGGCGGGAGGTGTGGGCGCGAAGCCGGGGACTGCCGCCAGACGGCTGGCGGCAGTCTTCTCGCGTTGTCGCAGTGTGGGTCGCAGCGGTGAGATCGCACCAGTTGGGTTCGGCCCAGCCTGTGAGCAGACTTGAGCTCAGCTCGTTTGCCGGAAGGATTTGTCGGAAACAGGTATCGAAGCCGGTGTGGGTCGAGTGTAAAAGATGTCTGGTTTGAGAGATCGAACCTGGGCCGTCGGGTTTCTGCGGTTCTACGATTTGGATGGGCTCGCGTATCACACGCTGTCTGCGGGTCACGCGGGTATCAACAATGTTTTGTCGGATGTGCCCGAGTTACCTTCTCGCTGCATGCCATTCATTAGGTTTTGTGCGATTTATGAGGCATGTTGCATTTCCCTTCTATGCTTCTGTTCTGTTCTCATCTGCGGCCGGTCGGTCCATGGCAGGCTTTCTACCGTGGCTCGCTGGGTGCCAAGCATGCCCCCGTGCCCCCGATCACGCTTATCCCCCTGACGGCGCTGGGCCGGGTCGGGCCGCCCGTATCCCCAGGCGGAGGTGATCCAGGAGCTCAAGTCGAAGTCGCGCACCGGCGTGCAGGAGAAGAAGCTGCTGGGCCAGGAGGAGGTGTACCACGGCGCGCTCGAGGACATCCTGCTGGGCCTGCGCAGCGAGCCGTACCGGCGCGCCGACGCCGTGCGCCGCAGTCAGCGCAAGCGCACGGAAACGGCGCGCCTCTCGCGCGCGCTCGATGACATGGACGTGTGACGACGCCGCCGCCGCCGCCGCCGCCGCCGTGGAGGAATCTGTGATACCCGCGCCGCCGTGCCATACCGCCGCCGTCGCCGGTAGTGCTCCGCCGCGCCGCCAGGTGTCAGGCGGCGCGGCCGCCGCGGGGTGCGTGCTGCGCCTGGCCGAAGCGGCCTCCTTGTGAAGTGTTTTATTTTTGTTGCGCGTCTGCTGTGCGGCGGCGGCGCGTCCGCTCGCGCCGTGTGCAGATCTGAGCGGTGGAGTGTTGTGGCCGCGGCCGCGGCCGGCGCGGGCGACCGTTCGCGTTCGGTTCGGCAGGAGAGTCCAGGCACCCGCCCGCCGCGCGCCGCTCCTGCCCCCATCCGGTGCCTTCAGGGCGCCCCAGTCACGCCGGCGTCCGCCGCACGCACCGTTTTATCACGCGCGACGCACGCACAACGCAGTGTACGGCACGGCCCCGCCCAATATTCTTATTTTTGTATTTATATGGAAATACATCGGGTGCCGCTACCAGGCTGGTGTGGTCACGGCTTGTGCCGATAGATGGCGCGCGGGAGGCTATCGACGAACCGTTTGGGGGAGGAGACATCGACCGCGTCTGTCGTCAGCGTTCTTGCATCACGATTCGCACGCGAAACAGTTCCTCTCCTTTCTTCTCAATTTTTACACGTTCTCTTCGTTTTTTTCAAACCTGCATACCTACATCGTGCAAACTCTGCAACGTGCATACCACCCGACCATACATGGTTGTTTTCATAGGACCCTTCCCAGGCTTGTTCGGAAGTAGGCATGAGCGGTCGACAGTCTACAGTCGCCGGTAATTTAGAAGCTGGTTACGGTAGACAGGGCGGTCCTGTCTGGGCCTGGCTACCTGTGCGTCATGTATCGGTCCCTGTGCACCCCGCGGCGGCCCGTGGACATGATGTATCAGTCCCTGGGCATCATGCATCAGTCCCTGGGCATCATGCATCAGTCCCTGGGCATCATGCGTCGGTCCCTGGGCATCACGCGTCGGTCCGACATTGTATTCCCAACACCACCTAGTATCATATTTTTCGGAGCCGCAGCTAGAAACCGCTAGCCGTTTGGCCGCGGTTTACTTTGTGCCTTTATATGGAAATACATCGGGTGCCGCTACCAGGCTGGTGTGGTCACGGCTTGTGCCGATAGATGGCGCGCGGGAGGCTATCGACAACCGTTTGGGGGAGGAGACATCGACCGCGTCTGTCGTCAGCATTCTTGCATCACGATTCGCACGCGAAACAGTTCCTCTCCTTTCTTGGAGGAGAGCACCGCCCTAGCGGCCGGTGCTCGCCTCCAGTGGAATTCATCAGGGTCTTCATTCCTCTCCAATAACGCCAGTTCCGTCGACGCCTCAACAAAGACAGCTCGGCCACAAATTCACTTGTATTCAAATCAAAAGCCACGGGCGCTCCGGACCTCCAACCCGCCCGTCCGGCGGTCGACGCAGCGGCCGCGGTCCCCCATCCGAAGACCACGCCGATGCCGCGCACATCCGGCCGCCAGTTCACCCGCATCCTACAAAACTTCCGCGCGCCTCAGACCTCCAACCAGCCGACGGCTCGGCCGCCGCGGGCCGCCGTGTTCGTGCCCCTCTGGCCGCAGCGGTGGCGACGCCTAGCGGCCGCGGCCACCTCTGGCGCGGGGCCCGCGGCTGCGGCGCGCCCGCTGCAGGTGACGGAAGGTACGCGCCGGCGGCGGGGGGGCCTCCTCGTTCCAGACGATCGGCTGCAGTCGCTGCCGTCGTGGCGCCGGCCCGCCGCGGCCCACGGACGGCTCGGCCCCTGCCGGCCCGTGGAGGAGCGTCACGGCAGAGGGCGGCGGCCGGCACTAGGGGCCAGTTTCGACTGTGCCGCAAGCGAATTTGCATGCTCCCGGAGATAATCGCTTCGAATCAGAGTAGTCGCTCTGCTGTAGCCGAGAAGGGCCGGGGCCCAGGCACGCCACAGGGCCGCTACATCCAGCACAGCCCCCCTTGGTCACAGGTCACGGTCACGGTAAATACGGTCACTGCAGTTGCACGCCCCTTTGAATCCCGCCTGTGGGAGGCCGCAAAATACGGCCAACGATCAACGAGACTAGTGCCGCGGCGTCCGGACACTGCAAACCCCGCGTGGACAGAACCCCACTGCGTCGCACGCGGTTCGCTGACAGCTGGCTGCATATCCCGAGGCCAGAACAAAGCGCACGGTGCTCTCGCGAGCTCTCGCCACGACTGGTCCATCCACCACGCCGAATAACTTCTGGGCAGCGGTACCGTGCCTGCCTGACCCTCACCGTCACCGCTCTCGCCGTGCGTGCCTGATCCTCACCGCCCCGCTCTCGTCGTGCCTGTGTGATTCTCACCGCCACCGCTCTCGCCGTGCCTGTGTGATTCTTACCGCCACCGCTCTCGCCGTGCCTGTGTGATACTCACCGCCACCGCTCTCGCCGTGCCTGTCTGATTCTCACCGCCCCGCTCTCGTCGTGCCTGTGTGATTCTCACCGCCACCGCTCTCGCCGTGCCTGTCTGATTCTCACCGCCACCGCTCTCGCCGTGCCTGTGTGTTCCTCACCGTCACCGCTCTCGCCGTGCCTGTCTGATTCTCGCCGCCACCGCCCTCGCAGAACAGCACCGGACGGGCGCACGGGCGGCAGGCTCCCACACACCGACTGACGCCACACACCGCCTCACCTATCGCCGCGCCGGGCTGTTGCGTCGGGTCCGACTCGGCGCCGCGGCCGTGCAGCTGCGCCAGGTCCATGCGCGTGTCGTCGAGGCCGGCGGCGGCACTCAGCGGCGCCGGCGGCTCGGCCGGCGGCGGCGCGCCGTCGCCCGACGCGGCCGGCTGGAACACAAACCGGCGGTCGGCGGGCGTCACCTGCCGACACACGCAGACGGCGCCACTGTCGGCCCGCCCGGCCGCCGCACCGCGGGCGTCGTGGACGCCGCGGAGGCAACGGCGGGCAGCATGGCGTGCGGTTCTGGCGACCGGGATATCGTCACGAACGGGCGGTACAGGACTTACGCTAATCGAGGACGGATGGCTGGCGCGAGCACGCGCCATACGGTCGGTCAATCGTGCGGAGGAAGCCCACGTTGGGCGGATGGAGCTCGACGCCTGCCAAGGGTCACGACACGCGGACACCGACAACTCTACATCACGGCACTCGTGCTGCCCTCTAGTGGAAGCGAAATCGACGACGAAACCACGCGAAGCACCTCTAATTCACCTACGAAACAAGAGCGCTCTCTGCCAGACAGAGCCAGTCACCTTCGGCAGCCCGCCAGGCCCTGCTGTGCCCACCACGGCTCGCCGCCAGCCTGCCGCCGCGCGCGGCGCCCGACGCTGCCACCAGTCGCCCCTCACCTGCGGAGAGGGCACTGCCTCGGCGAATGTGTCTCCGCGCCGCGGCACCATCAGCGTCGGCGTGCTGGGAACGATGCTGTCACCGTCGTCGAACTGGCCCCCGCCGCCGCCGCCGCCGCTGCTGCCTCCAGCGGCGGCGGTGCCGAACGGCTGCAGGCGCGGCCGGTCGGCGGCGGGGCCGGCGACGGGGGCGGCGGCGGCGGCGGGGACGGCGACGGCGGCGGGCGGCGGCGGCGCCAGCGCTCCGGGCCCCGGCTCAGACGACTCGTCCGCGTCGTCCGCCTCCGGCTCCTCGTCCTCCTCGTCCTCCTCGTCTTCCCCGGCCTCTTCGTCGCCGCCCTCGTCCAGTTGCTGCTCGTCCGCCGGCTCGGGCTCGTCGGCGCCGGCCGCGTCGCCCGTCTGCTGCAGAGGCCGGTACTCTTGCGTGTCCTGCGGAGGGGGCGGCGCAACGTCAGGCACGCTAGCGGGCGGCGGCGTCGCGGACAGAGCGTCGGCGGTGGCGCGCCGTCTCGGCAACTCAAGATCGTAGCAAATCTGCCGTCACGGGCAGCCTCAAGATCCACTACGGGCGGGCCATGTCTGGCTCGCGAACGAGCCCACCGAGTGAGGTGTACCTGCCAGAGGACAGCCAAATGTCGGGTGGGGGTGGCGCGGGGACGCTGACGCTCCCCATCAATGGTGACGTGCGGTAAAAGGTGGCGCGGATAGTCTTTCAGTACATCTCGTGTGTTGCACCCTCGGTGCGACACTGAATAAATGTGACTGCTCTCAGCGATCACTCTATAATCTGTGTCCCATGGCTGGCTACCGTAAATCTAGAAACGATGGTAGACATCATGACGTGTGACACGTTTACGCCCCAATTGAAGCGTGACCATTCTTTGTTTTCAACTACTGTACATCCCGTAATCGTTTTTGACCTCCATATGTCAAGGCCTGGGTGCATAATCCCATGATTCACTGGACATCTCTCTTTCTGCATCAAGCGGTTTTTACCGTCGCAACAATTCTGCCTGGTATGGACCCTATGTCAGGCATAGTATAATCCGGTTATGTGCGACTTGCTGAGGCTCAAAGGAATTTGTTTGTGCCAGGGGAAATAAAACCGCACAAATTTGAAAGGTCTAATTTCTCTCACCAGCAATAGCTTTTCATTACGCCACGACCAATCACGTTCAAACGCATGTCCAATCTTACTTCGTCTTCACCGATGCATGACGTATGCGTATCTCCTCCGTCATCCTCCCCATAATCTTCTTCTTCTTCTTCCATCTCTTCATTGGCCATGTCTTCCTCCTCTTCAGCCTCAGCCTCCTCCATCTCCTTAGCTTCATCCTGAGTCAACGCAGCACCGACATGAGCGTTCATCAGCGCCGCACCAAGCGCTGGCCACCACCAACGGTCAATGTTCGCGGCTCTGCGTACCAATCAATTCACATAGCGTGCTCCTTACTGTCGGCCTCCGATTCACACCGTGAAAAAGCGACATGACCAAAGTCAGTCCGAACTGGACTGATGAGCTCTCGCACCATGTCAGTCCGCCGCAGCAGCGCAGCGGCTGGGGGCGCAGGCCGGCGCTTGCTAGGGAGCCTCACCGGTCTCTCGTCGTCCGACAGCAGCACGATCACTGGAGCCGCGGTCGGGGCCGGGCCCGGCGCGGCGGGTGCCGGCGCGGGCGCAGTGGCGGGGCCCAACAGCGCGCCGGTGAAGCTCAGAGAGGGAGCGGAAGCGGGAGCGAGGGCGCCAGCGGAGGTGACGGCGGGAGCCGGAGAGGGAGCGGGAGCGGAAGCGGTGACGGTGGTAGGAGCGGGGACGGAGGTGGCGGCCGGGCCGGGGGCAAGGGCGGGGACGGGAGTGGCGGCGGGAGCCGGCGCGGCCTGGGCCTGTACAGTGATGGTGGCAGCGGTCGGCGCCGAGGCTGGGGTCGGGGCCGGAGCCGGGGTCGGCGTTGGCGCCGATGCCGGAGTCGGAGCCGGCGTCGGAGCCGGAGTCGAAGCAGAAGCCGGAGCCGAGGCCGGGGCCGGGGTCGGAGCCGAGGCGGTGCCAGCCGGCGGCGGCTGGCCGTCTGGTACGGCAGCGTCTTCCGCAGCCGCCTGCTGGCGCTCCGCCTCCTCCGTCCGCACCCGTTTTGCCTGTGGCATGACACCCGTCCGTCGGTCACGTCCCGCCTTGGAGCCAACGCCCGCCCGCCCGCTCTTTCTCCCTCTCCTACACACACACACACACACAGACATATATATATATATATATATATATATATATATATATATATATACAGCGAACGCCCGGATCTAGCATCTGCGGCGGGCACACAGGCGCACCGCCACGCCTCACCCGGACAGCAGCCACATCCGGCACCCCTCCGCCGGTTCCGCGCCCCCTCACCCACCGGCTGAGAGGCGGCGGCGTCCGGGCTGGCCGCCTCATTGGTCGACGCCACTACAGCGAGGGCCCGCTTCACTGCAGACGACTGCTGCGGCTGCGCCTGCTGCTGCGCCTGCTGCTGCGCCTGGAGCCCGGACGGCCCGGCCGCCGACAAGCTCTGCTGGCGCCAACAAGGTGCTGTAAGTGGCGACGGCCAGCAAAGCCTTGAACCGCGTCCGCACACGGAACACCGCGACTGCCCAGCGCCGCAAACCGAATGCACAGCAGCCGGGAGAGTCGGCCTCTTTCGCCACAGCCAACCGAAACCAGAGTCCCGAAGTCGACATGAGGTGCCCGCCCTTCCCGTCCGGGCGAGGGGCGGACGAAACCACATGACCTCTGCACCTCATGCGGAGGTGCCGAGGCTATCAGCCAGTGAGGCCTTCATGAGAACAACGAAACGAGATCTGTCATGCAGGCTGTCCCGAACGGCTCCCGCCCGGCGCCAAGGGCCGGCGCCGGCTCGTGGTGTGCCACGGACCGGACGCTGCGCGCCAGACGCCCGGACCGCGACCAGCGCGCGCCGCCTGGCCTGACCTGGCTGTGGGGCGCGACTGTGGCCTGCGACAGTGTCTCGGTGACCTGGGCCGGGGTCGGCGCCACCGTGGCCACCGTCACCGCTGACGTGGAGGCCACCGGCTCGGAGGTCACGCTGCGGCGCAGGCAGACGGCTGTCACGGCACGGCACGGCACGGCACGGCACGGCACGGCACGGCACGGGCGAAACCACGCGGATTCTGCTCAGCGCCGTCCCTACGGCCTTGCAAAAAGAGCACGGCGGCTGGGCGGCGTCAGGCCGACAATGCTGGTTCGGAATTCAATGACGCTGGTCAGGACCTTGTCACGGGCACGGGCACGGTTACCATGGACTGCTTATCGGATCGCCCTCATCGCGCCTCGCCACGTCGGCGGCGTCGAGCTGCGCGTGACGCTCGCACACGGCAGCAGCACCACCCCCAACACCTCCGCCCCTCCCCCTCCCGCCGGCTCGCGCTGCGCACCTGCCCGGCTGGCTGGGCGGCACGGTGGCCGTGGTTTTGGCCGGCTGCACGGTCATTGGTCGGATGCTGGCGGTGGGCGTGGTGCGGCTGGCCGGCCCGGACGGCGTGTGCTGCGAGACGGCCGCCGTCACGCCCGACATGGGCCGGATGTTGGCGGTGGGCGTGCGGCCCGGCTCCTCGGCGCTGTCGGGCGGCGCCGCGGGCTTGGTCTGCTGCTGCACGAGCGAGACGGGGTGTCGGTCAGACGACAGCGCGGCTTCGGAGGAGCGGATGGGGGGGGGGGGGGGCACAACGCGGGTCTAGTGGTGGCGCGGCTCCGGGAGACGCACAAGAAACAGGCGGTTGTGTCCACGGGAGCACCAGCGACTGCAACCACCAGTGGGCCCCGGTCAAGCACTGATCGCCCGAGGGCGGCGCATCCCGACCCCAGAACGGTACCGCCACCCGGCGCGTGTCCGTGACCTCTCGCCGCGCCCCCGGCGGCAGCCGCACCTGCTTGATGGTCATCTGTTTCTCGAGCGCCACGAGCCTCTTCTTGAGCAGCTCCTCCTCGCGTTGCCGGCCGGCCAGCGCCGCATGCGCCTCGGCCAGCTCCCGCTCCAGGCTCTGCAGCTTGTTGTCGTACTGCGACTTGAGCGCCGCCACGCGCATCTCAGCCTCGTCCTGCGCCGCCGCCGCGCCGTCTGCGGCCGCCGGCGGTCAGGTTAGGTCAAGTCGAGTTGGGTCGGGCGAGGTCAGGGGAGCGGGGCGTGTCGAATGCCGAGACGGCGTGTTACGAGCAGCGACGGGGAAAGAAGTCCCGACCTCACTTTCGTATTTCGCGTGCAGTACACAAAGCACGCCTCTTAATAATGTTCCTCAGCGGCAGTGCATGTTTTCACAAGTTCTCACCTTCACTTCCTTGCTAGCGAGGATGGCTTTTGGTAGGTTTACAGACATGTGCTACACAGGGCCTTCGGCAGCACGAAGCGTGGTCCTCCGCTCGCCGCATCTCCCTCAACAGGGGACCTGGTGTCGAGCATTAAGCCGAGGCTACCGTCCTGTACCGGGTGCACCCTCCAGCCGGTTGGGAGTTGATCTGACGGGCCAAAAAGGGACGCTCGCGCTGGGATTCGAGCTCACAACATTGGCCTCACAGCCGCTCGGGCTAGCTTCCGGATGCCAACGGGATGGTTCGTCTTCATCGACATAACCACGAATACAGGAGGCTCCCACATCTGTATGCTAGCGAAATATGCATGTTTACGTTACGTCTGAGCCATACGGCGCCTTAAGCGCGCTTAATATTTACTGCGCGCCAGATTCTTGGCGTCTGTGAACGCTGGCACGGGAGTCCTATTGCTCAAGCCCACGAGCAATGAAGACCAATTTTTGTTGCGAGACTCATCGAGATCGTCTGCTGTCCCGCGTCACATTCCATGGGCCCATTCTCTGGTCAGAGGCCCATACAGTCAATTGCCTAATTCCCTCCATCCCTCTCCTGCCCCTCTCCCTTCTCCCCCCCCCCCCCCCGCCACCAGTCCTGCCCCGGCGCCACCTACCCTGCGGCTGCTGCCGCTCCTTCAGCTCCCTGTTCTTCTCTGCCAGCTCCTTGTTCTCCTGCGTCAGCTGCGACATCTTCTGGCGGAACTTTTGCAGCAGGGCGCGCGTCTTCTCCTCGTGCTGGCGCGCCGTGGCGCGCATCTGCTCGAGCTCGGCGCGCGCCGTTGTCAGCTCGACACCGACGGCCTCCACGCGTGCTTCCTGCTCGGCCGCGCGCGCCGCCGCCTCCTTCTGCGCCGTCTCGGCGGCGGCGACGGCGGCGGCGGCGTCCGGTGCGGCGGCAGCGGCGGCGGCGGTCGCCGTCTCGGCCGCCGCCAGCTGCCCCTTCAGCCGGCCGTGCTCCGTCTGCAGCTCCTCGAACTGCGACTTGTACTTGCGTCCGATCTTCTTCACCTGCGAGGCGCGCGGCGGGAGGGGTTACGCCGCGCGCGCTCAGTTGGGTGACCAGGACCAACGCTCGCATCCTTCGAGGCCGGCTTGTGAGCCCCACAGTCCCAGTTCACGCCCGCTCCTCAAGACCGCCGTCCCAGTCAAAGCCATCGCCCAACTCGCGCACTGTTCCCGGCATGGCAACATCCCGCGGCTACGTGACCTACCCGGCGTTCCGACTCGTTCCGGCGCCAGCCACGGTCGGCGTCTCTGCCCGGCGCTGCGGGCGCCCCTGCCGTCCCGTCCTCCCCTCGCGCCCACCTGCACCATGCTGCTGCGCAGCTCGTTCAGCTGCGCGTCGCGTTCGGTGACGGTGCGGCCGGCCTCCTCCGCCTGACGCGCCGCCTCCTGGCGCTGCTGCTCGGCCTGCTGCTGCTGATGCTGCGCCTGCTGCAGCTGCTGCTGCGCCGTCGACGTGGCCAGCTGCGCCGCCGTCTGCTGCTGCTGCGACGTCTTCAGCTGGAGCTGCAGCTGCGACACCTGCGCCAGAACGGTGGCCGGTCACGGCCGGATGGCCAAGAAGGTCAGACTCACCCTGGAAGCGTTGACGGCAGTTGAGGCCACTTTCAGACCGATGCGCTCCAAACAGGCCAAGTACAACAATGCGCGGATCACAAAGGTCTCTCCCGCGTGACCAACCCACGCGCTGGGGTCAAGTCAGCGCAAATCCAGCAGCGTTCAACACCTATTGCGACTGCCTCTCGGTTAAGCGGAGCATGGGCCTAGAATCCAACGTCAGAAGAGAGCAAATGAGGCCATCACAGGCTCGCCTCCTGTCACCAAGCACTACCGACACCCCTTTCCATCATGGGGCGGTGCCACCAGCTCCCAGTTCCAGCCCCGTGCCGACCGGCCACACACACCAGCTGCTTCTGCTGCGCCAGCTCCTGTTTCTGCTGCGCCAGCTCCTGCTTGAGCTGCGTCTGCTCGCCGACCAGCTGTCGCAGCCGGTTGGTGAGCTGCTCGCGCTGGTCGGCCGCGCCCTGGGCGCCGGCGCGCACCCGCGTCAGCTCGCTCTGCAGCTTGGCCAGCTGCTGCTGCTGCTCCTCCGAGCGCTTGGTCAGCGTCTCCTTGTCCTGCCTGCGACGGGCGGCGGTCAGCGGACGCCGGTCACCAGAGGTGGGCGCCGGAGCGTGTCACATTCGGCCAGAGCCCGGCCGAGCCACGGCGGCCAGGGCGCGCAGGGTCCACCGGCCGCCCGCGGGCAGACCGTGCGGCCGGCACCGAACTGCTCGCAGCACTGCAAACCATCCTAACCCGACATAAGACTCCGTATGGTTGAACCCGTATGGTTGAAGGGAGAAACTGAACTGCGCACATCACGCCGCCAGGCGCGCGCCGCCACGACGAGCGGGGTGGCGGGGTGCCGCCCGCCGCGACCCGCCGCGGCTGGCGCACCGGCCGCGCGCTGGCCGACACTCACTGCAGCCGCTTCATCTCCTCGGGGTTGGCCTTGTTGGCGCGCTCCGTCAGCTGGTTGGTGCGCTGCCGCCAGCGCGTCACCTCGCCCTTCAGCGCCGTCACCTCGCTCTCCAGCACGTCCACGCGGCTTTGCAGGTCACGGTTCTTCTCCTGGAACGGCGGGACGATGAGGGCATCGGTCACAGCGCGCGAGGTCAACCCCACCCTTTAAAAAAACGAAAAAAAAACATTTAGCTCACCATCTTCATCATAGTCGATCATCACAAACTGCGTACAAAAGACTGAGGTACCCGGACTACCACCAAAAACCCATTATACGTGGTTTCAAGAGCAATGCTACCAGTAAGAACGAAACAGACTGCTGCAGTTGACCCATTTCGAAAATGACGCGAACTTCTGACGTCAAATCCGGATAAGGACTCGAAAGTGGAGGACTTCACAGGTTGGGAAACCCAATGGGTCAGCTATCAGCAGTTGAATGTAAATGGGGCGCGGCGGGCGGAACCCAGCCAGTCTGCTCGCCGAGGCGGGGCGCGGCGGGCGGAACCTAACTAGCCTGCTCGACGAGGCGGGGCGCGGCGGGCGGGGCGCGGCGGGCTGAGTCCAGCCAGCCTGCTCGCCGAGGCGGGGCGCGGCGGGCGGAACCCAACCAGCCTGCTCGCCGAGGCGGGGCGCCGTCTGGTGGCCCGATATGCGCAACTCTGGGAGAAAGCTCTTGACGCGTTCGCATGGCGGGGATGTATGACACGTGTCACGGCTGGGCTGGGCACAGATTATGACATAATTACGGATCTTGATTGAGTTTAGTATGGCTTTATATGTATACATAAGCATATTCAAGCTATGTAGTTATATGTATATATATAATATTATATCATGTTATATATTATTTTATAGAATATATAGTATATAGATACTATATTATATATATGTGTTGTGTGTGTGTGTGTGTGTGTGTGTGTGTTTGTGTGGTGTGGGTGTTTTGTTTGTGGGTGTGGTGAGTGTGTGTGTGGTGGTGTGTGTTGTGTAAGTTTTGTGTGTGTGTGTGCGTGTGCGTGTGCGTGTCTGTGCGTGTGCGTTGCGTGTTGCGTGTGCGGTGCGTGTGCGTGCTGTGCGTAGCGTTCGTGTGTGCGTCGTGCGTCGTTCGCGTGTGTATACCCACATGACTTTAGATGTTAGAGCGACGGGCATCTATTTTTGTTTAAAACTTAATGATGCTACCAACCGCACTGCTTTTAATCGCGATTAGCTCCCTTTACACTATCTTTTGTGATTACCGACATAAAATAGTAGTTTTGGGTGCAGACTCTTCCGTAATTTCAGCTTCAGTGCGGGAAAACACTCAAACCGGTGAGCAATGAGTGGGTGTAACTCATTAGGAACGGGCAGCGGGAGCGTACGGACAAAGACCCGTGAAAGGCAGATTTGGTAGAGGAGATTTCACCCGAGACGACCTCTTATCAGACTGAATGGACTCCCGACTCCGTGCCCTACGACTCGGACTCAGGTTCGGACTCTCTCGATATGAAAAGGGTGAATCGGGCCTGGGCTTGCGACTCCAAACATTAAAACTGACACTCCAAGACTCAAACCCACACCAGCGGCAAGCACGGCATCGCACCTGCAGCGGTTCGATCTCAGCCCTGGTGGTCTCCAGCTGAGCTTCCAGTTCCTGGCGCCGCCGAGAGAGGTCGTCACGCTCCTCGCGAAGTACCCGATTGCTGTCCGTGAGTGCGTTGAGCGTCTCTACCTTGCGGAGCAGCTCGGCCAGCTGTGCCGACGAGTCCACGGTGGCCTGAGGGGGAGGGGGCAGGGGGCACATCGGTCAGGGCCCACGTGAGATCACAAATTGCAGCCTACAACGCCCCAGTCTCAGACCGCTCCCAGAGAGCGTCTCAACGAACGACGTCAGCGATTCACATCTCTTGATAAAGAATAAGTTTGTAACGGGTGGAGTCGAGCTGGGTGGTCACTGAATAGTCAATTGTCCAGAAACCAGCCGCGGTGTGATACACCAGGTGTATTGGGGTACGCCGACTGACTGCTGTTTTGAGTTCATAATGGCTTTCAGTTCTCACAGCGTGAGGTGGAGCTAAAGCTGCTCCTATTCTTAACTCATTACCAGGAGCGCGATTCAAGTAGCAGTCGTAAAAGAACGCAGATGGGTTTCTTTACGTCGCGCAGTGGTAAGACATCGGTCAGGTGGACCCCTTCTGATTTCGTACCGGCCGACTTTGCCACAATACGAGCTCACAAAACGAAAGGTCTGGGAAACCATCCCAGTGACGTCAGGTCGTCGGCCGATCCGACAGCACCCCAGTCAACGCCAGCGCTGAACCTCCGACAGCCCCCCCCCCCCCCCAACCCACTCCCATTCCGCCAGCGGGCCGCCACTTCGCCCTCGCGCGCCACCGCCGCCTACCTGCGAAGTCTGCCGCTCCTGGTCCAGCCGCTGTTGGCTGGTCTGCAGCTGCTGCCGCGCCAGCTGCAGCTGCGCCGTCAGCCGCGCCGCGTCGGCGGTGGCCGCCTCGGCGCGCGTGTCGGCGATCTCGCGCTGGCGGCGCAGGTAGCGCACGATCTCGAGTAGCTGCTCGGCGGAGCGCGCGTCCGCCTCCGAGAACGAGGTGTTGAGCGCGCCGGCCGGGGGCTCGCCGGGCGCCAGGCGCGCCTGCACGGCCGCCAGCTGCGTGCTCAGCTCCTGCAGCTGGTCATGCAGCAGGCCGTTCTGCGCCAGCAGCTCGTCGTGCTGCTGGCGCCACTGCTGCGCCTGCTGGTCGAGCAGTGTCTGGCGCTGCGCCCAGCCGGCCTCGGCCTCCTCCAGGCGGGCCTGGGCGGCGCGCCGGCCGTCCTCGGCGGCGCCCAGCCGGCCCGTCGCCTCTTCCAGCTGCTCTCGGCTCCGCTTGAGCGCCTCCAGATCAGCCGCGTGCAGGATCACCTCGTGCTGGTAGCGGTCCTGGGCCTGCGGCGGCGCGGCACGTGTTCACGGTCTCATACTCACAGCGCGGCGAGACGGACCGGGCCGCGTGATGCGGACGAGCACGGCGCCTAACCACTCTCTCACCCGAACTCAATCATCAGCCAACACGCTGCCGACAGCCCCGCCCCTCCCCCTCCTCCCCCAAAAAAGGACACCGATGATTCGAGTTGTGCACGTACCGACGGCTCTTGAGATCGCTGTGCGCCCGTTCCTGAGTCATACGTGAGCAGACGGATCAGAAGACAGGGGTTCCTGCGCTCTGGTGCCGACGGACGCACCGGCCGGCTCCGCGCGCGGTGCCCGGCCGACTCACCTCAGCCCGCGTGCTCGCCTCCCGCTGGGCGTTCTCGCGCGCCTCGCGCTCCAGCGTCTGCGCCGTCTCCAGGCGGCTCCGCGCCTCAGCCAGCTCCTGGCGCAGCTGCTCGCCCGAGCCGGCGTCGTCGCGCAGCTGCGTCTCCAGCGCCTGGTTCTTGGAGGAGAGCGTCTCGACCACGCTCTGCAGCTCGGCCATCATGGCCTGGCTCTCCTGCAGACTGTCGGAGGAAGGCGCGCGGCACGTGAACGCCGAGGCACGTGCGGCGGGGATACGCGGCACAATGTGACACCACACGCGGCACAGTGCAGCGCCACATGCGGCAGTATGGCGTCGCACGCGGCACAGTGAAGCGTCACACGCGGCACAGTGCAGCGTCACACGCGGCAAAATGTGACGCACACGCGGCACAGTGCAGCGTCATACGCGGCAGTGTGGCGTCACACGCGACACAGTGCAGCGTCACACGCGGCAAAATGTGACGCCACGCGCAGCACAGTGCAGCGTCACACGCGGCAGTGCGGCGTCACACGCGGCACGGTGTGGCGTCACACGCGGCACAGTGTGGCGTCACACGCGGCACAGTGTGGTGTCACACGCGGCAGTGTGGCGTCAAACGCGGCAGTGTGACGTCACACGCGGCAGCGTGGCGTCACACGCGACACAGTGTAGCGTCACACGGGACGATGTGACGTTACACGCGGCGCAGCGTGGCGTCACACGCGGCGTAGCGTGGCGTCACACGCGGCACAGTGTGACGCCACACGCGGCACAGCGTAGAGTCACACGCGGCACAGGGTGACAATCAACGTAGAGGGACAGCAAAACAGAAAGGAGGCGATGTGGGGGAAAGGTCCGTTACACTGAGATGAGCAAGGCTGCTAAAAAAAAATTATCACCTTCAGACATACTGGCAAAACTAAATCAAAATAGACGTCACCAAATAATAGCATGTAGCATTTAATGTAAACAAAGCCTACGATGAGATTTGTTTATTACATTTTCATACAAAAACAGCATGTAATTTCGTCGCAATAGGCATGAAAAAACATAGTGCGTGGTAAATTCACATGGTCAATGACACCTTACGGACATATCCGGAGGAATTCTGGGTGTGTGGCGACCTTTCAGTCGTGGACCCCACACTCTCCCCTTCTCCAACAGCCCAGCCCATCACGGCTTCGTCGGATCTCTACAATACCCTGCAGCTCTGGATAACTTCTCTCTCCCTCTCCGTCTCTCTCTCTCTCCCTCTCTCCCACACCCCCACGCCTTCACCGCGCCTCTGCCGTCGGACACTCCCGGACCGCCTGCCCGTGGCTCACCGCGCCTCCATGGTGGCCTGACACTCCTGGACGGTGCGCTGGGACCCGAGCAGGCGGCGCTCGGCCGCCTCGGCCAGGCCCCGCTGCTGCTCGGCGCGCTGCTCGGCCGCCGCCAGCTGCTGGCGCGCCGTCTCCAGCTGAGTGCGCGCCTGCTGCAGCTGCAGCCGCGTCTGGCGCACCTCCGGCTCCGGAGATGCGGCCGCCGCCGCAGCAGCAGCTGGAGGCGAGCGTCAGGGTTGGAGACGGGCAGTGAGAGTGGAGTGCGCGCACAGGCGTCGTGGCCTTGTGCCGTGAACTGATTCTGCGAGTTGATGCGCGCGATTGCAGAGGTGTGGACTGCCCGCTGCGTACATGCAATGCTACATTTACAGCGAGGAACGAAGACAGAAACACAAGGATAAAAGACCATACGGAGGAAGGAGACGGGGGAGATTCAGAAACAAAACGGGTTTGAGCGGTTGCGGCGAACGCCAGTACGTCCTCACACCAGCGAGCCATGGCTGGACGTTGTAGCTGCGACGATTATCGAGACCACCCGGGTCGTACCTCAAACCACGCAGATGTGAGGAAAGCCCCCCCCCCCCCCCCCCTCCAATCCTGCCCCGCTGTCGCTGACCTGGCGTCGCCGCGGCCGCCTGCGCGTCGGCCAGCTGCTGGCGCAGCTGCTGCAGCTGCGCCTCGGCGGCCACCTGAGCCTCGCGGCCCTTCCGCACCACGGCCGCCTCCTCCTCTGCGGGCGGGCACAGGCGTCAGCCGCCGCGCCGGTCAAACGTTGCCGGCGGAGGGCGGGGACACCACCCTGCGACCGTCACGATGGTCTCGACACAAGACAACGCCAGCGGCAGCGACCGACACAAGTAACCGGTCGTGCCAGACGACCCTGGTCGGCAGGTGGTTCTGCATAACCCATGGTAGGCCATGTGCTTGCCTGCAGTCCCCCCCCCCCCCCAACGCCCACACTTTTTACAGGCGATGCGGTCATACACATCGCAATTTCTATCTGCACCATGGCAGGCATTGCCATCACCAGCATCATCACTGTCATCAACGCCATCACCGTCACGCTCATCAGCATCGCCGCCCTCGTCACGGCCGCGCCTGCCACCAGCACCAGAGCCACCGCGCCGCGCCATCGGTCGCCGCCACCGGCGCCGTCGGCGTCAGCGGCGGCCACTGACCGAGCTTGCCGCGAAGCTTGGCCACCTCGGCCTCCCAGAGCCGGATGGCCTGGCGGTGCGTCTCGCCGTCCTGCTCCAGCTTACGGGTCAGCGCCGTCACCTCCCGCTTCAGGGCGTCGTTCTGCGGGGCGGGGCGGGGCGGGGCGGCCGGGTCAGGCTGGCCGGGTCAGGCGCGGTGGCCGGGTCGGGCGGGCCGGGCGGTCAGGCGGCGCCACGGCCGGCCACACGCCGGGCACTCGCGCCTCCGGCGAGCTTGCGACAGACTGGTCGGTACCTGCGGGATGGTCCCTAAAGTTCCGAAGGCGCAAGTTGGCAGTGGGTTGTCCAGGGATGGCGCGTCGGCGGCATGCCATTCGTAGGTCATGAACGCCAGGAATTTAATCGATTTTAATTGGGCGGATCAGAAGGGAGTGAATGAAAGAATGAACGCTACTACATCATGCTAAGAAAGGACTACTTCGGACCTATCTACAATATCCCGTTTTATTAGTATCTTGGCGTGACCACCCCTCCCATCGTTTATCGCACGGGACGAACAGATGCCAGACCGGTGGCCAAACGCGACCCCACAATTCGCCACACACTTATGGGCGAACGTTCTAACGCACCCTACTCCCTAGCAGCTGCAGCAGACAAACTCCGTACAACAGGGGCAGGTGCAAGGAACAACAGCTGTTTCCTGCACTGCCCCCTCCCCCCGCTCCCCCGCACCCCGTACCTGGTTCTCCAGGTGTGCGCCGGCGCTGGTCTGGGCGCGATCCAGGCTGCTTTTGATGGCCTCCATGTTGGCCATCAGCAGCGCGGCCTGGCTACGCTCGCGCTGGGCCACCTCGCGCTCGGCCAGCAGGCGCGCCTCCGACTCGCGCAGGACGGTGCACTCCTGCTGCAGGTGCTCGCAGCGCACCTCCGCTCGGGAGAGACGCTCCTGCACGCTGCTGGCGTTCTGCCGGCGGCGGCAGGCGTCAGAGGGAGACGCAGGCGCCAGCGCACAGGCGGAGAGAGCAACGCTGACAGCGCTGGGTGTGCCAGTGCGGATTACGGGAGGCGGCAGAAGAGGCGGGAACATGACGTCACACCCTCAATACGGGCTCCCGAGTCGCTTCCAAGCAGACCCAAGACTGGTGGTGGCGGCAGGTCAGCAACGCAACGCTCGCCGCCAACCAGCACCCACCGTCAGCAACTAAAGAATCACCCCGCCAACCGGCGCCAAAGCTCGTGAACATAGCAGCTGACCTTCTCGCAACACAAAACAATCAATCTTATCGGACCAGAAGCGATTTCTGAGCTCGGGGCTGATATTCCTATGTTTAGCACAGTCCCAAGCGACTGTGACAAAACAGTCGCTTGGGACTCTTCCATCGTAGCAGCACATTCCCCGTCGCAGTATGCTCTGTGGCCACCATCCACCCGCCTGTTGATAAGACCCGCCGGCGCCACCTGTCCAGCGAGCTCCGCTTCACCGCCAATGCCCTCACATTGCCGCCCCCCTCCCCGTCCGCCTGCCCCTCCCCGTCCGCCTGCTCCACCCCGTCTGCCTGCCGCTCCCCTCCCCCGTCCGCCTGCCCCTCTCCTCCCCCGTCCGCCTGACCCTCCCCTTCCCGTCCACCTGCCCCTCCTCTCCCCCCGTTCGCCTGCCCCTCTCCTCCCCGTCCGCCTGCCGCTCTTCTCCCCGTCCACCTGCCGTTCCTCTCCATGTTCGCCTGCCGCTTCCCTCCTCGCCCCCCCCCCCCTCCCCGTCACCAGACCGGCCTCTCACCTGGCGCAGCGCGGCGATCGACTGCTCGTACTTCTCGGAGGTGGCGGCGGCGCGCTTGTACTTGTCCTCGAGCGCGGCCACCTGGCGGCGGTACTGGTCGGCGTTGCTCTGGCAGATGGCGAACCGCTCGTCGTTGTACTCGAGCCGCGTCGACAGCTTGGCGTTCAGCACCCTGACGAACGGCGGCGGGAGACCGAGTTTAGGGGGGCCTAGGTTCAGGGTTTAGGTTTGGGGCTGTTTAATGGTCGGCTCTGAGCAGGCGAACTGAACGCGAGGCGTTTTGTCCGGAGCACGGCCGTGCAGTGCCAACCATCGCAGGTCAATCAACCAAACGCTTTTCACCATATCCACGCACACAAGCGTCCGGCTGCTTGCCTGTTTTCCGCTAGCTGGTCTCCCTGCTTCTGCAGCTGTTCGTTCAGCATTTTGACGTTCTCGGCCTGCTCGCGCTTGTAGAAGGCGTACTCCTCGCGCAGCTCGTCCAGCGTCTTCTCCAGCAGCTGCAGCTTCTTGGCGTCCTCCCCGGGGGTGAGCGGTTGCACGGTGGGACTCTTGATCGGGCTGGGCGTTTTGGTCGCCGCCGTCCGCCGGTCGCCGCCGTCCAGACACTCCTGCACACAACGCCGACTGCTAAATGAAATGTTTCGGCCTTGTATTGCGCGTTGAAACTGAGATAACCAGATCGTAGTTCATATCCGCTCAAATGCATCGGCAAGTCCCAAATCACCCCGTCTATTGACCCTACCGGCCATAAGTTCATTATTCGGTGTTTGGTTCATCTTGAACAAGACAAGATTGGGTTAAAAATAAGCAATTTTGTTCATCCCGTGCTGTCTGACAACTATAACCACCATCCGCATATCCTATTCCGTCACATTTTGTACATCGCTCAAACCTACAAAGGACAAACATCGCATTCCACAGCCTTAGCAATTCTTTCGCATTTAACGTAAGAGAGCAAGGCGGCCAAAACGAAAGAAAATGTCCGACCATGGGTCTCCGAAAAAAGAATATAGTGCTTTCCCGCGACTACCGGCACAAAACCCAACCCGCTGAACTGCTGTTGACGCGTCTCCACGAGAACAGGACGTTATGCGCCACGCCTCCGTGACTTATCGGCAAGTCCGCTGACGCGGCAACAGCGGCACACGACCCCGACCTGCTGGTGCGTCTGCTGATGCAGCAGAGAGCGGTACATGTCTCGCTGTCGGACGATGCTCTCCACCATGGTCTCCTGCCGCATACGGGAGACTCGCAGCTCCTCGAGCTCCTCCTGGGCCGCCGACAGCTCCGCCTGCGCCGCACGAGGGCAGACTCAGTCCCGGTCGCCGCACCGCGCCACGGCACGGGCGCCCGCCTGTGCCGCCAGGTCAGGCAGGCCAGGTCGAGCGTGGCGCGGCCGAGCACGGCGCCTATCTCCGCGCACAGCGGCGGTCGGCGGCGGCCGCCGGACATCGCCGCGACGGCTCACGCAAACAGGCGCGAATTCCTCGCCGAAGATGGCCGCGTGCCGAAACACACGCTCGCGCTTCCATCACGCAGTGGTTTAGGCAGCACCGATTAACAACGACGCACCCTCACGGCACATCAACACAAAACAGCGCAGCGAGCGCAGTATTCTCATCGCGCCTCCACGCCGACGACGCAGCCGTCAGCAGCGAGAGCCGCGCCAGCCCTGCGCCCGACCGCACCGTCCGGCGTCTGGCCACCCACGGCCGGACGTGAGTCGCGCCAGACCCGCGCCCGACCGCACCGTCCGGCGTCTGGCCACCTACGGCCGGACGTGAGCCGCGCCAGACCTGCATCCGACCGCACCGTCCGGCGTCTGGCCACCTACGGCCGGACGTGAGTCGCGCCAGACCTGCGCCCGACCGCACCGTCCGGCGTCTGGCCACCTACGGCCGGACGCGAGCCGCGCCAGCCCCGCACCCGACCGCACCGTCCGGCGCCTGCCCACCTGCAGCCGGACGTGCGTCTCCGAGCGGGTGACGTCAGCGCCGTCGTCCGCCTCCTCGCGCTCGCTCAGCTCCCGCACCACGGCCAGCAGCTCCTGGTTGCGCGCCTGCAGCTCCTCCAGGTCGCGGAAAGTGACGAGTCGCTGCGAGATCAGCTGCAGCGGCGGCACCGCGTCAGCGGTCGGGTCTTCGGGACGGCCGTCAGCACCGGTGAAGACGGCGAAACGGGGGGGGGGGGGGGGCAGGGGGAGGGGCATGCAGCCAAGCGGGCCACGACACTGAGGGCACCACTGTGACAGCGATTACTTCCGGGTATGCATGCTTATATGCATGTATACATGCTAGTCTGAGTTCAGAGTTCTTACACTCACAGTTATCTATCTTCACTGCACCAGGAAAACATTGGTTATATTGTCGACAGCCACCGTTTCAGGGTGCGCTTATGATTACGAATGATCATCAGCACGTCTCACACTCCTACTCCCCATTCCCTAAGGGGCTGCTGGCCTTTCTTGCTTCCACCAAGTGTACACATGCTATTACATCTGTACATTATTTGACGAGGACAGTCTCCACAGTGGGCCCATCTAACATGACACTGGCACAGTTCAGCGGACTGACCGCGACGACCGCGGGTGCTTCCCGAACGCGACGTCACCAGCTGCGAGTGCAGCAACCCCAAACGTCCGTCGCACGGACCAGCCGCGGAGGAGGTCCGGACCGGACCGGACCGGACCGGACCGGACCGCCGGGACCGGCTGCTCACCTGTCGGGCGCTGGACGAGTCCGCGTCCAGCTCGGCCTCCGCCTGATCGCGGCGCGTGGTCACGAAGCCGCCACGCGCTTCCTCCACCTCCTTGAGGAGGACGCGCACCTGCCCGCCAGAGGGTGGTGACGGCATGGAGCGGCCCGGAGAGCGGAGCTGACGTGTGGGAGCGCGCAGTACCCGCGGACACCAGTCCAGGGAAACGTAGAACTGAACACACCCGGGACACACCATTATGGCCAGCACGGAAGACCTCCGCCTTCTCAAAACGGTCTCCCGCTTTGGGAAGGCGGCGCAACCCACCCATGAACTCGAGGCTTGGGCACCCAGTTTTCCCATTGAGCTGGTCTCCCCTCTCCTCCCGACGCCCTCCTTGCCCCCGGCGCATTGCACACTCCGTCAGAGTCACTCACAAGTCCGCCTCCGCCTGCGCCTGCGCCTGCGCCCGCGCCTGCGCCCGCGCCCGCACCCCTCCTACCAGCGCGGCACCCATCCGGCACTGCCAGAGGGCCGGGTGCCGCCGCCGCCACCAGCGCCTAACCTTACCTGCGTGGACAGGTCGTCGCACTGCGCCGCCAGTCGCGCACGCTCGCGCTGCGCGGTGCGCAGCTGCCGCATGGCGTCGTCAGCCTGCGAGCGCGCCGTGCCCAGCTCTCGCAGAGCCTCGTCGTTGCTATCCGTCAGCGCCTCGATCGTCTGCACCGCCGCCTGGCGGCCGCACGGCGAAGCTCGTCAGCAGGTGGGCAGCGGGAGCCTCGCACCGGGCAGCCCGGTGCACGTGGAGGACGTGGAAGGTTACATCCAGCGCCACCGCGGCGGCAATCGACCGACTCCGCCAGCACGAGACTGTCACCGGCGGCAGTCGACCGACTCCTCCAGCACGAGGCTGTCACCGGCGGCAGTCGACCGACTCCTCCAGCACGAGACTGTCACCGGCGGCAGTCGACCGACCCCTTCAGCACGAGACTATCACTGAATCACTCCCGAGACCGATGCCTCAGCGCTGGCCGACGGGAAAACGCGGCGGAGCGCGAGGGCCGCGTACCTCGTAGTCCTCCTTCTGGCGCTGTATGGCGGGCGTGCGCTCCTCGATGTCCTTGAGGATCTGGTCGAGGTAGACCTTGAGCTGGCGGCTCTCGGCCTGCGCCGCCGCCAGCCCGTCCTTGGCCTGGCAGAACTCGGTGAAGATCTGCGTCAGCGTCATGCCCTGGCGCAGCAGCCGGCTGACGGCGGCCGCCGACGGCGACATCTCCTCCACGGCCGCGTCGGTCAGGCCGCCTGCCGGCGCCGGACGACGGCGTCAGCGGGGGAGCCGTGCGGCCGGCCGGCGCGCGGCCGAGGACGGGGAGGGCGCCAAACTGCAGGGACGGGGCTGCGGGACACCAAGACCTCCTCGTGCGGTCTGGTGACCAGCGGAGAGAACCTGACACGGGCGGCACGAGTCGGACGGCCTCGCACACCGCAGCGAACAGTCCCAACGACCATTCCCATAGATCAGCCAGTGCATATGACCGCGACAATCAGTCAGCATATCGGTTTCATAGACGTAATTCTGCTTTGAGGACTGCCGGCTACGTCTCACGCACAGATCTCAGCGCACACAGCGTGTTTGGACGCCACCTTTCTCTTCTAACTGATCCACATGCGTGTTGATGCGGCACGCATCCAGCACAAGCAGCGGTCAAACGACTGTCTTGCACGGACCGCGTCTCGTCTCCCCCCCCCCCCCCCGTCCCTCTACAACACAAACACCAGCTCGCGGGCCGACGTGCAGTTCCGCTCGCCGCCCGGACCGCCGGCCCACACTGACCGCGCTTGGTGATGTGCTTCAGCTGCTCCTCGCATGTCTCCACCTGCGTGCGCAGCGTGCGCGCGAGCTCGTCGCGCTCGGCCAGCTCGTCGCGGTGGCTCGCCGCCTCCGCCTCGAGCCGCTGCTCCAGCGCACGCTGCGCCTCGCTGGCCGCGTCCAGCAGGCGGCGCAGCTCATCCACGGAGCGCAGCGTCTCCGAGCACTTGGTCTCCGCCTCCTCAGCTCCCTCTGGCGGTGGACCACCGAGTCTTTTGTGAAAGCATACGCCACAATCGTGTGCCACGTGCATTGCACACCTGGCCGTAACCACATCCAACCAACCACAACTGACCCCCCGCCCCCATTCGCTGACCCCGACAGCCCCCAGTGCCCAGCGTCAGCGACTCGGGCCCGCCCGCCTCACCCTTGTAGAGCTGCACGAGCCGCTCCTGAGAGCGCAGCTGCTGCCGGTAGTTCTGCTCCTGTTCGACCTCGGCGTCGCGCTGCTGGCGGAGCCGGTCGGCCTGCTCGGTCAGCCTCCGCTCCAGCTCGGCCGTCTGCTTCGCCAGGCTCTCCTTCTCGGCGCGCTCCGCGTCCAGCTGCCGCAGAGTCCACCACGGCAGCGGTCAGCGCGCGGGTCGGGCGCCACCGACGCAGCGGCTGAACCAGCGCTGGCTCGAGCCGCTGACCACAGCATCCGAGCAACAGCTGACGCGACGAATCACGTTTGATTTTGCTACGTGGGGGGAGGGCACGACCTGGACACATGAGATGAGCAATGATGTTCAGGATACTTCATATTGAAATCAAAGATGGTTTAACACCAATTCATTTGTGAAATCCGTTACGGGCACTTGACTAACAATCCACAGACACCACTCTGATGATGTGACGCGATGCGCCGACGCAGCCCACGTGATTTCATCTCCCAACCATGCAGTTGCACATTCCCGCACGGCACTGCCTGCTCGGCGGACCTGTTGGTCACCCGACCGCCGCCGCAGTCCCGCCCTGTGCATTCCATCACCTGGTCGATCTTCTGCGCCAGCTCGCTCTGCAGCTCCAGGATCTGGGCGCTGTTGTGGCGCCGCACGTTGGCCAGCTCCTCGGTGCGCGACTCCAGGTGGCCGGTGAGCAGCTCCTGCTGCTTCTCCAGCAGCGCCTTCTCCTGCTCCATGCGCCGCTCCCTGATGGACGCATGCGAGGGGCTGCGGTCACGAGCGGCCACGGCGCAGGTGGGGTGCCGGGCACCGGCCGAGCTGTGTCTCGGACACGCCAGGTGGTAGAGTCGTTCCCTCGTCGCTCGCGCGCCCTTTACGCCGAATACCGGGCTCACAGTGCGTTGGCAAGCATTCGCGAAACACGACTGGATGTAGGCCATTGGATCGAGCAGGTTTGATATAATGATCTGTATTACTTTGTCAAGCCAAGTGCCGCTGCATTCTACCACACGCTTCTGAGTAGAACTATTTAAGATAAATATCTAGAGCGCGACAAGACAATATGACACTTCAACACGTCGTAGAATGTGAAAACACATCCAAACAGCCACCTGCCGCGTCCCCAATTACATAGGTCGCAGCGTGCACGCCCCAGCCGCCCCGGCGCCGTCCTCGCGCCAGCGCAGAGGCCGCCACCACACCCGGCACCCGAGTCCGGTCCGCGCAGCGCCGGCGGCGGCGCCCACCTGAACTGCAGGCTGATCTCCTTGGCGGCCGTCTCCTCCGCCTGGACGAGGGCGGCGCACTTGGCGGCGTTGGCGGCGGCTAGCTGCTCGGTGAGGCGCGCCAGCTCGGCCGTCAGCCGGCCGGCCTCCGCGGCGCGCCGCTCCAGCTGCTGCGCCAGCTCCGCCTTCTCCGAGCGCAGCACGTCCCGCTCGCGGCGCACCTCCAGTTCGGCCGCCGACACGCTGCGACAGGCGCCAGCACCGTCACATAGTAGCAGGGATGGCACCAGCAGTCTTCACCATTCTAACTATATTACAATGGGCAACAATACAAATTAACAACATCAATACTAATAATGAGTACAGCTAATGTTAGGCTGTTTACCAAAGCAGACACCTGCGTCATAGACAGAATGACCAACTATCACAATGTTCCTCACACCGACACCAGTAGAGAATCAATGGAACATCCAGTGCTACAGTCTGGGAAACATGACATGTGACTTTTTTGTGGTACCTAGTAAAAAGTTTGGGCTCACATTTCTACAATAATGAGAACACCATGTACCATGTAGCCCAAAGATCTAGCTGAAGGTGGTGAAACTGAGGTATGTGTGCATGAAGGTGATGCTATTATGCTTTTTCAAAGTTATTAACTCTCTGCAGTAATAAAGACATGACACCATGCTATTTCAAGGTTGAGCTGAAGATACCACTCCAGTGCAAAATGAGGGGGGAGATGCTAAGCTTTAGCAACAATAGCAAGCCATTGGCACTGGCATGGGTTGTTCTGGAGATGACTCAGCCAGGATGCTTTGGTAGCAGGCCCATGCTAATGACTGCATACCCAAACTGAGTTCTGGCACAAACGATGTTACAGGGACAGAAATCTGAGTGATTTCAGTCACCTGGTGAGCTTCACATCAGTCTTGCGGTAGGTCTCAGTGAGTGCTGCCAGCTGCTGCTGGCACTGCGAGGCTGCTTCCCGCTGCTGCTCCAGCAGTGTTGACTGCTCCTGCAGCTCCTGCTGGCTCTGCTGGAGCTGCTGACCCAGCTCAAACTCATCTTGCTCTGCAAGAAACACATGATCATCTTTACTACATGGACTCCCTGCACAGGCACAGTGGCTGGCATTATGATAACAGATAATGTGACTTTTAAGTAACTTAATAACTTACATATGTTGTGACAAAGCTGTTGTAACTCAAGGCCTAATAAAATCCTAGTTGCAGAGCCCCTTGCTGAGAAATACTTTCTCCTGCATATAGGCATCATCTGCACTGACCTAACCTAACCAGTGTGCTAGAATCACTTTTAAACTGGGGTGGGGGTGAAAAATTTAATCACAAAAGGACAGTGTGGGAGTGAAAAATTTAATTCATAGCTTTGGAATTCATGAGGCACCAAAATATGCTCCAGCAAACAAAGACATGCATTTCAAGTTGGCATGGAAGTGATATCCTAAACATGATAAAACTATTTCTTTTTTAACATCTTGGGTCATTACAGTGAGGAAGAATACATTGGAGAATAGTTAGGTCATAACAGAGTGATGAACATAAAAAACTATGCAACACCAATGTTTTCATGCTGCATTTTGCACTTCCCTTCCACCAGACCTTTTTAACAGTGCTTATTTCCATGACAGTAACCTAATTAAGCTGAACCTAAAGAGGCCTTACCCCCTCTCATCCTGTCTTACCTATATGTATCACAGCAGAATTTGTGAATCACTAATTCTTGTAAAATCTCTACTGCCACTTATCATGAAATTAACCAACTTAACCTAATTTAGAGTAGCCCATATGTTTAATATTGCCTAAACTCACCTTAGCCAGTTCTAAGCACCAGGTTAAGTTGACAACACAAAAATCAAAGCCCCTCAAATCACTTTGAACAACCTATTCTTGTTGTCATGGCTGGCCTCCATCAAGGACAATAGTGGATATGCTCCACAAAACAATGTCTATTTTCCAAATGTAACACAACTTATAGGTGGACAGCAAACCAGTTTTACTGCTTGTCTTTTCAGCTGCAGCAAAGGCATCCATTTATATCTTGTTATTCATATTTCATGACTTAAAGCTTGAGATGTTTGCTTCACATTTTGAATGTGATGGTCTCACTATTTGCTGAACACCAATATCCACTTTATGTTGTAAAGGTTATGTAGCTTAGGGTATTCTTGTGTTGAGAGATATAGTGCATATCTCCAGTACAGTCATTTGCCAGTCGGCAAACCATGTCAACTATGGGCATCTGGTTAAAGCAGACATGAGGGACCACTTCAACAAATTTGAGGCAAATGATCAAGAGTATGGAACAAAATACTTCAATTACATATTTTTGGCATCATAATTTGTCTTATGAACTTAACAAAACTAGATTAAAACAAAAAATGGCTAAATATGGTTGTAAATCATGCATTGAAAGCAGGCAAGGTTAGCTATTAATTGGTCTGCAGGAAAAACTTACTGGCATTTTAAAGAAATGCTTCTTTCTGCACCTCACACAAAGTCAGCGATGTTCTCTGTCAAAATGTCTGCACAGTTCTGTACTTCAAATTGTCTCCTTTATTCCCTACAAACTGTTCACCCTTGGGTGCATATCAAACATGTTTGGGCAGCTGGTGAATTAATCCAATTCATGAATGAAAGGTGTGCAAGTTTGCAGTTGGAACATTTTGCAGTAAAATTGGTCAACGTTTTAAGTCACAAATGGTATTTTTAAAGGCAATCTGAAAGGAAGGGAAAATGGAGTTATATCACACTTGTAAAATAACAAGAAAAACAAAAGTAATTAAATCAATATAAAGACTGATAGTTATTGGTAACATGTTGCAATCAGGTTATTTGACAGAAATTCTGTGAAAATGAGTGCTCAGAGAGTGATACTTGGCTTTTAAATTTCATTTGGAAGACATTCCCTCAATTGTTCACTCTATCATTTTGGGAGTGGTGCAGTTTAGTGGCAAGTTTCTTCAGGTTAAAGAAATATGTGGAGTTAAATTCTCTACTGTGCTTTACTGGTATTTGTACCAGGCTTTGCTTTGGTAATGTGGTGCTTGCATGGTGTGACCATAAAAATTGGGGATGTGTGAAAACCTTGGATACAGCACACATGATGTGATACATTTTGTTCAACAAACCAAGCTTGGTGCATGCAAGCAGCTAGAGTTGTCATGTCTCCAGGGCTTGAAGGCACCTGGTACTCTTCCTCTATGCATACATATACATGATCAGATGTAGGTGAGGCAGAATATAGCCATAGGTGTGCAGGTTCTGTGGAGCCTTGTTTATGCTTGATGGTTTCAAGTGAGCTCAGCTTTGGATGACATCTTAAAACCTCAGAAAGGGAAATATGGGTTTGATATGCGAAGTTAAACAATATCAGGTGTCAGTAGAAAATCCACATAAAAAAGGAAAAGGATTGAAAAATTCCTCTTCATAGGGTGCTGCTTGACATCTAGTCAGCAATTCTAGGACACTGAAACTAACATAAGCCCCAAAACATATACCTATCTATGTAATCCAATGCCAGTCAGAAATTTGTGTTTCTAGGTTATACTGTACTGTCTGTCACTATCTTTGATGGATGTATCATTCACATCCCATGCCCCAAGTTCACAGACTGATAGTTGCCCAGCCCACAACTAGCCAAATTGAGACTGTGGTATAACCTACTATACCAAGAAGGTATCACAGTGCTTTGTCAAGTAAGCATGCAATGAGCTTGCCCCAAGCAACTTGTTGGCATTATCACCTTGTTACCAACCATTTACAGATTGGGCTATCACTGGTCTGGCACCAAGTCATAATACATTTTGACAAGATTTTGTTGGAGCAGGAGAGGGACATAGGCTCTGGTGCAGGGTAGCTTATGGAACAAAGATTGGCAGAATTTATGGATTTAGAGAGTTGAGGGCATCATAATCTGTTAATGATATACAGTACTGGGAAGATCACAGAAAATGGTGAAAGCTCATTGTTATTAAATTGTTGGGGAAAAATAAATGAGGCAATTTGCTATCCAGCTTTGGGCAGAATCCTGAGTGGGAAAACATATTGAAGCGTTCGCCAGTTTGCCACCTGGATTACTGGAATTTATTCAAGATCACATCCCCTAGCATACTGCAGCCCTGGAGACCACACAGAAAGACAGTAGCTCAAGCAACTAACATGGAAAGTAAGCAACTTATCGAAATTCAATGTAAATCAAAACTAGTAGCAAACCGAATTCCAGCGCAACCGTTACCAGAAACCCACCTTTGAGCACTTTGAAATCGTCATATTCGCTTTTCAACGACTTCACAGAATCGTTGAATGTTTGGAATGACTGCAGGAGCTTGCTTCGAATTTGCACTGGGATAAGTATAATCTCATCTTCTTCGAGGAACGCTTCCAGCCTGGCGTCCATCTCCATCGCCGACACATGGACGCCCCCGTCTCTCGAGCGTCGGCGCAAAATAGGTTGAAGTGCTTTGGCGTGCGCATTCACCAGTAACGGGCAAATGGATGCGTCGCCTAGCACTAGCTTGTATGCTGTTAGAATAAGGTTCAGAAGCTGTTTTAAGGACTCTCATTAACCAATCACTTTGAAAAGCTACCAAATACGTCACCAAAACTGTGCAAAAGCTTACGGTAGACAGCTCTAACCAGTAAACCAAACCATCCGAGTGCTGTGCGTTTACGACGCATCGGTGACAGTTCGGCGACGCCCTACAATTGTTTTGCTAGGCGGTGGTTGCGGGTTATCGTTATGGTGGTTGACCGTGGGGCGTAATTGAGAGGCCTTGGAAGTCACCGCCTAATTGTCCACCGTGCGGATGCGCTGAAGGCTGCCAGCCCAGCCTTCCGCTCCAAACACGCGACAGCAGTCTCGCCGTTGCTGGGTCTATTTCCGCCAGCTCCTGGAGGGTTGTATCTGCGGACTGACACACTTGTAGGTGAGTCCAGAGAAGTTATTGGACCTGCAAATCCGATGTGTGTATTAGTTAACTAGCCATATGTAAATACTGACACTTTGTAGTCTGCAGACTGTTATGATCACTATCACTGCACTGAGTATCCAGACTTTTTATGATAGGTAGCACATATTTGTCTAGCATCTTTATTATTTCGTGATGTTGTATTTTATGTGTGTTTTTACTTGTGACAGAGTTACAATAGAAGAAAGATTGGTAACCTGCATTATACAGATCAGTAGCCATGTTGCATATAAGATGCTCTGTAATGCAGCTTTTCTGCCTTCCTTGTCATATTTCAAGCACAGAGATAAGAAATGCTCATTGTGCTTGGATGGTAAAGAAAGCACCACAGACTTATCTTCATTGCAGGCGAGTAACTGGGCTTAAATTAAAAGACACAATGCTGTTGGTGATGGAAAGGTAAACATTTGATGATAGTAAATCTCACAGGCAGGTCAGTTAGCAAAAAGATGATTGAAGTGTCACTTGCCAGAAATGCAAGCATATTATCAGATGTGGCCCCAGTGGCATAAGCAGACAGATAATAAGAACATAAGAAGGCAACGGTATGGTGATGGTTGGCAATATAGCATCAAAGTGATTTTCAGCAGATAAGATTTTCATCTAGTTGGGAGGAGGTAGTAAAATGGGGTAAAAGTGTCTCCCTCATGAAATTTTGCATGGAAGGCAGAACAAGTAAAAAACAAATAATTAAGTATGAAAATTATTTGGCTTGTGCAAGAATAGTGCATTTACATTTCAGTATGAATAAGCCATTGGTTAAAAGTTAAGTATGCCATGTTTGTCTGGCTTTCCCTATGAAGTGCTGAAAAAACTCACTGGTCTGTCACAAATGAAGGCTGAGGTCATTAGGCAATGTTGCAATCACTGGCCTGATTTCGAACTTTGGACAGGAAAATCATTATCTATCAATAAAAAATGTATAAGTTGTGCCTCTTGCTTTATTTAAAAATGTATGCTAGGATAATACTTTTCTGTCATTTGCAGTGTGGGATGCCTCCAGCTACCCATTGTTATAACCAGGATCAAATTTTCTGAGAAGCATATTTTTGGATTTTTAGGCAGGATAATCTACTTCCTGTGCTCAGCCACCTCTTCTGCCCCCCCCCCCCCTGCAACTTATTTTACAAGACCTCATCCTCGTGCATTCTCTTCTCAGCCCTTTTCCAAAGTGCAATGGAACTTGGATACCATTGGTGACAATCCAATACCCAAAACAACATGTATTCCTCTCTTCATCTGGTACTGTGCTCCTGCCCCAGCAGCTGTAGCTGGAGGGGCATCGTCGGTGGTCGTCCCCGTCTCGGTGGCCGCATCGGCAGTCTGGCGTCGCCATCGCGGCGGCCGCAGCCGCGCGCCATGGACCGGCGGCTGGTGGCCGGTGAGCCGCACCACCTGTACGGCGGCGGCGCGGCTGACTACCCCGGCTCCGAGTCGCAGTCGAGCTCGGCCGCCTCCAAGGGGCCCGACTCGAGCAAGGGCTCGCACTCGCCCTCCAAGAGCATCTGCTCGGCCAGCTCCAGCTCGTCCGAGCGCCTGGCTGCCGAGGCCAAGCCCAAGCCCAAGCCGGCGGCGCGCGAGCAGAGCCAAACGCTGCGCGCCGAGGACCCGCCGCTGGTGCGCGGCGAGACGGTGCAGACGACGGCTCGTGACGTCACCTACCTCTGCCCGTACAGCGGGCCCGTGCGCGGCACGCTCACCGTCACCGACTACAAGATCTTCTTCCGCGCCGAGAAGGAGAAGTACCTAGAGCTGGACGTGCCGCTGGGCGTTATCAGCCGCGTGGAGAAGGTGGGCGGCGCCAACACCAGCCGCGACGAGAACTCGTACGGCATTGAGCTCTTCTGCAAGGACATGCGCAACCTGCGCTTCGCGCACAAGCAGGAGAACCACTCGCGCCGCAACGTGTTCGAGAAGCTCAAGCAGTACACCTTCCCCACGCCCAACAAGCTGCGCCTGTTCGCCTTCCAGAACGCTGAGACGTACGGCGAGAACGGCTGGAACGTGTACGAGCCCATCCTGGAGCTGCGCCGGCAGGGCCTGCCCACCGAGTCGTGGCGCATCACACGACTTAACGACAACTACGACGTGTGCGACAGCTACCCGGCCGTATGGGCCGTGCCGGCGGCCGCCACCGATGACGACCTGCGCGCGGTGGCAGCGTTCCGCAGCCGCTGCCGGCTGCCGATCCTCTCCTGGATCCACCCCGAGTCGCAGGCGACCATCACACGCTGCTCGCAGCCGCTGGTCGGCGTGTCGGGCAAGCGTTCGCGCGAGGACGAGGCCTACCTGCAGACCATCATCGACGCTAACGCGCAGAGCCACAAGCTGTACATCATGGACGCGCGCCCGAGCGTCAACGCCGTCGCCAACAAGGCCAAGGGCGGCGGGTACGAGCTGGACGACTTCTACGAGAACGCCGAGCTCATCTTCCTCGACATCCACAACATCCACGTGATGCGTGAGTCGCTGCGCAAGCTGAAGGAGATGCACTTCCCCAACATCGACGAGCCGCACTACTACAGCAACCTGGAGGCCACCAACTGGCTGGAGCACATCAAGTGCATCCTGACAGGCGCGCTCAAGATCGTCGACAAGGTCGAGTACAACAAGACGTCGGTGGTGGTGCACTGCTCGGACGGCTGGGACCGCACGGCGCAGCTGACGGCCCTAGCTATGCTGCTCCTCGACCCTTACTACCGGACCATACGCGGCTTCGAGGTGAGTAATGGGAGCTCTTGCTGGCTCACTGGCCTGTGGTCTGGAGGTGGGCGTGCGGCGGGGCGCTCGGCCGTTCGCTGACTGGGAAGTAGGCTGCCCCACTGGCTACGCCTTTCAGGTGATGCTGCGGAGCATGCGTGATGAACTGCGGTCCTAGCATCGCTTGGATTCTCCAGGTGGTGGTGCTATATATCTGGCTTCCACTAGCTAGGTAATTCGTTATATTACAATGTGTCATGTTCTCTAGTTTTTTGGCGGATCTACTACCTGACATGTGTTTGATTTTCCGTGTCAGCGCACCTTCGCATTGATTCAGCAGAAATACCTTTGCGACGGCTGGAAGAGAGTGGCGCTGTTCCGCGGCTGTGGATTGGATTACATTGGATTCCATGGATTACCACGGCTTCAACATCTCCGATATGTCCGTGAGGCCGTCTAACTCGCGCTGATGCGTTTGCTGTCCCCGAGCTATTCCGGTGGTGGTCCTGCCGCCTGGTGACGGTTTTATGCTGCGCCTGGTTGGCGCCGCGCTGGTGACTAGTGACCGGCGTCTGCTGGTGACAAGTGACTGGTGTCGTGCTGTTGAATGGAAGCAGGGCCGGTGTGTGGTCGCGGCGACCTCGGGTCGTCTCCCGACACTGCCGCTGACGCTCCGCCCTCGGTCAGGTGCTGATCGAGAAGGAGTGGCTGAGCTTCGGGCACAAGTTCCAGCAGCGCGTAGGTCACGGCGACGACCGCCACTCGGACGCCGACCGCTCGCCCGTCTTCGCCCAGTTCATCGACTGCGTCTGGCAGGTGATGCAGCACTTCAGCAACGCCTTCGAGTTCCACGAGGACCTGCTGCTGCAGGTGATGAAGCACCTCTACTCCAACCTCTTCGGCACGTTCCTCTGCAACAGCGAGCGCGAGCGCGTCAAGGAGGACCTCAAGCGCAACGCCGTCTCGCTGTGGTCATTCATCAACTCCAACATGGAGGAGTACGTGAACCCGCTGTACGCGCCGGAGCTGTACACGGGCGCGCTGTTCCTCAGCCCGTCACTGCGCCAGCTGCGGCCCTGGCTCAACTACTACTGCCAGTGGAACCCGCGCATGATGCCACAGGAGCCGGTCCACGTGCGCCAGCGCGAGCTGCTCGTGCTCAAGAAGCAGCTGGCGGCGCGCGTGCAGGAGCTGCAGAAGGAGCTGGAGTCGCGCAGCACGCGCAACCAGCGCGTCACGTCGCCCGTGCCGTCCTAGGTGGCGCTGGCGGCGCGACGGCGCGCCACTGGCGCCGGCGTGAGGGCCGCGGCGTTTGAGGGGAGTGTGTGGCTTGTGATGCGAGTGAGAGAGAGTGTGCGGCGTGTTAGACGAATGGAAGGGAGTGTGTGGCACATGAGACAAATGGGAGGGAGTGTGTGGCGCGTGAGACGATTGGGAGGGAGTGTGTCGCGCGTGAGACGGATGGGAGGGGAGGTGTGTTGTGGGACTGGATGGGGGCCTGAAGTGTAAGGCAATGTAGGAAGCTTGTGTATTCTGTCTTGGGTAAGATATCCGTACGGAGCGGCGGTGGTCGTCACGCTCTCACTTACCCTGCTTTTGAGACAAGACACAAATCACGAAGGTTGTCACGTTTTATGATATGCTTCGTTTGTCATAGATGAAAATGTATATGTTCTTGGTCTGTCCCACCCTACTCTCTGGCTGCTTTTTTGAGGTTGGGCTTGTCGAGTCTATTACAAACATTTTTCTAAACAACGCGACCATTCCCGCTCATTTCCTGGACGTTACGGTTGTGCTTTGTGTGCTTATATTATTATAATGCTAAGTTGTTTATTATCGAATCGTTGCTTCTCGTTTGTGCAAGTATGCTTTCGTGCTCGCGCGTGCTGAGAAAGGTGACCGATATCAATGCATCCGCATTACGTATGGAGTATCGGGGCATAACTGCTCAGTTATGCGTGACGGAAATGCAATGACAGTACCAAATCCCGCTATTTGCGTGCGCCGAAAAGCGGAGAGCGCATTTTTGCTCGATGACAGCGTTCGCAGATAACTGATGAAAAAAATGCGTAGTCAGGTGCGGATCTAGGAAGCCCCCCTCCCCCCCCCATTCCCCTGGAGGGCCCGTCTCCTCAGAAAAGGCCCCCTGTGCTGTTCCAGCGGGTGAGCGAGCGAAAACAAAAACACGATCGAAATATACCGTTTTCGAAAGCTTTAATAAATAAATTCATACGGGCAAGGTACTCTGGTCTTGAGATATCGCCCGTTATTTTCCGGGCGCGTTAGAAGTTGCAGCAACACGAAAAGTCGTGATTTACGTGAACACTGCGCCATTGAGAAACATAAAAGCCGACAGCGTGTGCGGCATTATACCAAGTTAACAATTTTTCAGCTGCTTTAAGCAGCATACACAGCCAGCTTCGGAGCCAGCTCCCAGCAAGACTGAAATTTTCAAGAAATGTAGGATGCAAATTATATATATATATATATATATTATACAAAATATTTTGGATCCACTTTTCATGGAGCGTAACGGACCTCGTGTTATAAGCTTCTCAGATGTTTATGCCTCTCTGAGTTGATGGTACTGTCGCAAATGTTTAAAGTTAGATCCACGCTGGCAGTCATGTTGCCTGGCCCCGGTTGCAAAGGTTAACACCAATGCTTAATGGATGCAGCTTGGACTTTAGCTGGAAGGGCGCTTCTATTCATTTTGCTCCCTTACTGATCGGTACTGCTTCACGACCGAGCGCACTTTACTTCCAAAACACCAGACTGAAAAGGTGCAACCCTGGATAGTGCTCCAAAACATATACGCTTGCGTGTCGCCTTCAGTACATGGAAGTGCCCTGTGTCAATCAGGACCCCCGGTACCGGGCGGGGCAGCCCTCCACCCAATTTTAGTAAGTGTCCGGTGCGCCGAACTGGAGTATCTGCCAATTATCGGACCCCTGCGGCGACAAGGAATATTGCTAGGTCAATGAGACCTCCTGCGTTAATCCGGGACCAACTGACCTGGTCAGGGCCCCGCGTTAAGGAGAAGACTACTGTATGATGGATCCCTCTGAGGGCCTCCTGTTCGACCACGGGATCCCACCCGTGTCGCCGGAATGGCAGCATGCAGGTACCCTGCGCTGAGACGGAATAGCCATTCAGACAATGTCCACTCAACCAGGAATGGTACTGCGTCCCTTAGTGTTCTACCTAGAGGGTCCTTGCCGGGAAAAGTGAAGTGGTCTATAAATGTTCGATAGAGTGAATTGAAAACAGATAAAAAATAAAGTGATAGTACAATATAAAAACAGAATAAGTAAAACTTTCGCGGAATCAACTAGTGAGACAAAACACAGTCATGTTTAGCCTCCGCGCTTGCATTCTTAGGAGCAAAAACGGTGATGGCCGGGTTGGAATATTCGTCGAATCGAACAGCGTTGAGCGCAGCATGTAACGCCAGGCGTCGGGCGCCAGGCGCGCGAGAACGACCGACGCAAAATAATGCGTTCCGAAAGTCTCAAAAACAATTTGTATCTTTCAAAGATTAAATTGGGACATGCGTTTCACCTTTATAATCTTCAACTTGTCGCTGGACAGATAGCAGTTACAATTGGAATAACAGATATTCTACCTGTTTCTCTTCCGGTTCCAATGCTACCAGATGCCAGTACTAGTTCGCGGCGATGTAAATGCTGGTACATTCTTCTTATCGATCTAAAATCACAGACGAAACATGCGTCCGAGCTATTGTGAGCCTTTACGGTACCACGGCCTTCATCAGCCGTGTGCTCCCCCCCCCCCCCCTTACCAAGGTTCTGGCTGCGCCCCTGTGCAAGCGACGCGTTCACGCGCTATTTTAGTGGGATCAAATCCAAAAAAGGTATCTTGCTCTGAACCTAAGGAATGTTGAATCCTTAGTATATCGCAATGACGACTGACAAAATCAAATCAGCTCTAGCTCGCTGAATGGTGCGGTGCTGACCAACTTGCAAAGCACGAATGCTTTGGTGTGCAGCCATTAGCCCCTCCGGACCATTCTGGGTCCCAGATGTAATTACGTGGTTCCATGCTATTTTTGCCCTTTGAAGATGGTGTGATATGCACCAGTAACGGCCGACGTGGCGTGACCCGAACCGCATGTCTTTGCACATTTGCATGCTAGGATCAAGGAAAGGGGATATCGATTTCTTCGTGCCGCTGCATGTAACTGCTAATCTGTTCCGGGGATCCATCTTAACCCTGCTAAGTGCCAGCAGCAACAATCCCCGCGGTAAGCAACGAGAAAGGCCCTCTGTGGCTCTCTCAGAAAGTGGGAAAAACCAAGACAAGTGTGCACGGCTCCTGGGCGATCTATAATGCGGGTTTAATTAACGCATCAGGCCACCGCCGCCAACACCGTTGGGACCCTCCGAGCACGTGACAGGATCGTCAGGGCAATATGGCGGGTCTTTAGACGATCGGGGATTACCATGCACGGGCTGACACGTGGCCAGCAGGAGCGCAGAGCCCTCCAAACCAACAGGAAGAGCCCACGGCCAATGCGGAGGGCCTTTGTGTGATCGAGAGGGCTTTGCAGATGAATATACATGGCCTCTGTGTGATCGAGAGTGCCTTGCAGGTGAATATATAGGGTCTCTGGTAACGGCGTAGAGTCCTACGAGCAAATCGGAGGCCGTGGGCTCTTCTTGCTTGTTCAGGAAGAGCCCGCATTGGCCGTGGGCTCTTCCTAAACAAGCAGGAAGAGCCCACAGACAATGTGGAGGACCTCTGTGTGATCGAGAGGGCCTTGCAGATGAATATACAGGGCCTCTGGTCACGGCGTAGGGTCCTCCGAGCAAATCGGAAGGACCGTCACTGATACCACGGGCCTCTGGACGATACCACGTCACGTCACTGATACCACGGGCCTCTGGACGATCGAGAATGCCCGGGCAGGGTAACAGGTAATGCGTTCGACGGAAGCTGGGGCCCCGCGGAAGGGGAAATATGCGAATATCCCTTTGGCAGTGCATGAGAGAGAGAGAGAGAGAGAGAGAGAGAGAGAGAGAGAGAGGAGAGAGAGAGAGAGAGAGAGAGAGAGAGAGAGAGAGAGAGAGAGAGAGAGAGAGAGAGAGAGAGAGAGAGAGAGAGAGAGAGAGAGAGAGAGAGAGAGAGAGAGAGAGAGAGAGAGAGAGAGAGAGAGAGAGAGAGAGGAGAGAGAGAGAGAGAGAGAGAGAGAGAGAGAGAGAGAGAGAGAGAGAGAGAGAGAGAGAGAGAGAGAGAGAGAGAGAGAGAGAGAGAGAGAGAGAGAGAGAGAGAGAGAGAGAGAGAGAGAGAGAGAGAGAGAGAGAGAGAGAGAGAGAGAGAGAGAGAGAGAGAGAGAGAGAGAGAGAGAGAGAGAGAGAGAGAGAGAGAGAGAGAGAGAGAGAGAGAGAGAGAGAGAGAGAGAGAGAGAGAGAGAGAGAGAGAGAGAGAGAGAGAGAGAGAGAGAGAGAGAGAGAGAGAGAGAGAGAGAGAGAGAGAGAGAGAGGAGAGGATAGAGAGGAGAGAAGATAGAGAGAGAGAGAGAGAGAGAGAGAGAGAGGAGAGAGAGGAGAAGAGAGAAGAGAGAGAGAGAGAGAGAGAGAGAGAGAGAGAGAGAGAGAGATAGAGAGAGAGGGAGAGAGAGAGAGAGAGAGAGAGAGAGAGAGAGAGAGAGAGAGAGAGAGAGAGAGAGAGAACGGCTTCTTGAGAAAAGCCTGGCGTCGAGTATTAACTCATATGGCACATGTGCACGGTATACATATGAGGTAGGATATTACTTAATTGATAATATATCTGTGTTAATGAGAGTGGTTATATGGGGAATACCGTATTTGCGTAGTCGCATACCACAGCAAAACGTTTGGAGCTGTGCTTGCGCTCCATGGTATTTCTGCTGGAGATCGCCACTCGCTGCTTTGGAAGCAGATCTCTATGCATGGGAGACGCTTACAGTTGTTTTCCTAGCCTTAGGTATAGTTTTTCTCTTCGGCCAGCAACGGTTTCCATGCCCAAGGGTTGCAAAATAAACAAGTGCTTTTCTGAACGGCTGAAGGTAATTTTCAAGGCTCTCTTCTGCACTTTCTCAAGACGTTGCGCCTGCCTGGCAGTAAGTCCCGCATGAAAACCGGTGCACAGTATTCTAGCAATGACCGGATGTAACATCCACCCGAACAAGCTGTTCCTGTGGTGGATGTTACCTTTTCATTATGTACAGCATGTATAGAGTTTTCGATGCTTTGGTTACAATCTTATCCACATGTGTTTGCCAGCACATGTCTTTTGATATTGTTACAACTAAAAGCTTAGTTTTGGTGGCAGTTGGCAGGCTTTTTCCTTGAACCGTGATGTCCGGTGGTGCTAATGGTCTTTTGGCTGTGAAAAATATATGACTTGACACTCGTCAGTGTGTAATGTCACCTTGTGTGCCGTTGCCCAATCACTTGTCTTGTCAGCGTGCTCTTGCAACTGGCAGTGCCCATCTACTTGGTCAATTCGACACGCCTGGTATATGGTTAGATCATCTACGTACTTCAGTCGGTTCTCAGTATCAGCAGAAGCACCGTTAACCATATCCAGAAAGCCAACCGGGCCAAATAAGGTGCCTTGTGGAGTGCCGCATGTTATCGTTCTCCGACTCACGGTTTCATCTGGCATCTGGACCCGCTGCTGTCGGTCCTGCAAGAATGAACATGGCCACTTTGCATACCTGGAGCGAAGTCCCACTGCAAGAATGTTCTGGATAACCATTGTGTGATCAATGAGGTCAAATCCCTTCTTAAAATAGTATATAACCACAGAAAATAATTTGTCTGTTTCGTCTAACTCCGTCAACAAATCATGCAGGAACCTGATCATATAGTGTGACGTTGAGGCACCTTTCATATTTCCGTATTAGCGCTTGTCTATGCTTGGTTTTATATCACCAGAATTTGTGGAACAATAATCTCTCCAAATCCTGCTAAAAGCCGGTGTGGGGCCTAGCGGCCGCA